AGCGGCTTAGTCATGCTGGCCACATGACCCGGAAGCTGTACACCGGTTCCCTCGGCCAGTAAAGCGAGATGAGCACCGCAACCCCAGAATCATCCGCGACTGGACCTAATGGTCAGGGGTCCCTTTACCTTTATGTATCTTTGAACTCTCCTGTGAACTCCTGAAGTTCTAACCTGTAGGCTGATTTGAGTTGGGTGTTACAGCAAATTTTGGAATAAAGCATTTAACAATAACCGACCCAAGTGTCCAAGCACTGGATACATGGGAGCCAGGACGGTGTGTCTGAAAACCCACTTTCTGTGCTGACTCTTAAAACATACATTGTCCTATCTCTGCTTCTTTTGAATAGCAAACAAATGCTAGTGGAAGAGATTTGATCAGAAATATAGCATTCATCTTCATTCCTTTACTACTGCATGAAACCTGCAACATGCCCGGAGAGACAGTCTCTCCAAACCTGCCGTCCACTGTGGTCACCATCCTATATTAATCAGCATGGCCACAAGTGTAGTCAAGCTAGATATATAGTGAATTACTGCTCATTTGTTCCTCCCAGTAACCTTGTATTTGTAATCACCAATCCCATATCACCGCTGTGTGCATCTGTCAAACTGCATATCCCTTGGTTGTTTCTAGGAGGTACGTAAAAACCACATGTGTATTTATGACATTACCGGCAAGTCTGGCTCTTTCCTCCTCCTCCTTCCCACTGGTCCGGAGCTCTTTTTATGAGGATTGATGGATGGGCAGTTAATGTTTAGAGCCTCACCCTCTGATGGTATCTCTCTGTGTGAATACATCTTTTCCCCAATAACAGCTGTTTTGAAAGTGCTGTCTGCTGCAAGAGCAACTGCTGTCTGCATTTTCTTTCTCCCCCTTTCTCTCATTTTTCTAATTCTTTCATCCTCACGCATGCCACATGTGGAGGAAGGCTGACTAAAGCAGTGGAATTTGCATGCATGAATTCATAGGTCCCAATGTAAAAGTCTGCGGAGATGTGCAACATTTTTCTGGGGGAAATTCACATATGGGAAATGTGAATTAATTTTGTTTCACCTTCTTGCTTTGACTCACTCCAGTATTTTCAGGGTTGGGCACTGGGAGGTGGCAGCAGCTGGAACAGAGGGAGGTGGGGCACACGGGGCATAGCATGTGGATGTACCTGGCATCAGCAGGTAAAAGGGCCAAGGCCATATAAATCCACTCTGGCCCCCCTCCAGCCTCCCACCCTTCCAGTCTAGGATGGGTCCCCCTTTAGAACTAAGTAGGATTTATTTTGCATGCTCACATCATTTTATTTGAATTTGTTTTATCCCACATTTCTGCAGTTTCCTAAGGTATCTATTGGGGCTCAACCAAAAGTTCTGTAAAGCGGAGGTATTTTGAAGGGAGAATGTCTCACAAAAGACCCCCTACTCACCCGTGTTGCCTCTTTGGCACCACTGTAGTGCAAGCAGTGGAGATCCTGCTCTCCATAGCCTTCCCCTGCTTTTCCCCCCACTCTCAAGTTGCCAGAGTGATGGCATGTGGCAATCAGACATCATCTGATTGGCTTCAGACATCATCACATAGTCAAATCTCACTGGCTATATGTCATAAGCATGAAGCTGAATAAGAGTGACGACAATCCTCACTCAACCAGAAGTGGCAGTGGAGGGGGGGCTGAGGCATTGTATTGTCTGCTGCACCCCAGCAACATCCGCTTTCTCTTAGAGCTGAAGAGACAAATGGTTTCTTAAACCTGCCGACAGCATCAAATCATCTGAGTGTGCACAGTAGTGCCCATCCAGCAACTTGGAGGAAGAATGCCATTGGCTGCTTCTGAGCACACGCTAGGCAGGGCTCTGCCTCTGAATTAATGTGCAGCAGGAGGGGGCCCCCAACAGCTCCCTTGGAAAATTCATATACATCAAATCATTCAGTAACCAAGAGACAATAAAACACAATGCACATTTTAGTCAAAAAGGTGCTCTCCCTCTCAGACCCCGCCCCCACCCCAGTCTTGAAAGTGACTCAAGTGATCCCTCCCAAAGGCAGAGGTGTTCAATGAGAAGAGATAGTCCAGCCCGGATTTGGGGGGTGCATCACCTGCTCCTTTTGCCTTACAACTCTATGGTGCAACTTTGGCTAGTCTCATTTCTGGATCTGATTAGGAATTTTGGGGGAACCCTGACAGTCTCTTGAGACTCCCTCTATTCTCCCACTTGGATATGTCTTTTATGTAAAAAGCAATGAATGAGTAGCAACAATAATGCCAGCTCTACTCAGAGTAGCCCCATTGAGATTAAGGACTGAGGGTCATTTATTTCAGTGGGTCTACACTGAGTAAAACTTAGCTGGCCACAACCCAATAACATGTATATTTGTGTGTGTGTGTGTCCATGTTTTCCACACCTAAACTGCATTGCAAAATCTGGAGAAGCGAACCATCTGCAGGCAACCACGAGAACAGGCATCACTGAAACCTGGTGGGATAAGTCCCACGATTGGAATGTAATAATGGAGGGATACAATCTATTTCAGAGAAACAGACCAGACAAGAAAGGAGGAGGAGTGGCGTTATATGTCAGGGATCTGTATACCTGTGAAGAGATCCAAGATTTAGAACCTCAAAGCCAAAGTGAGAGCATTTGGGTCAAAATTAAGGGAGAGAAGAATAACAGTGACCTCATTGTGGGAGTTTACGATAGATCCCCAAGCCAAACGGAGGACATAGATGATGCCTTCCTGGAACAGATGGCCAAGCATGCAAAAGGAAGGGAGATAGTAGTAATGGGGGACTTCAATTACCCGGATATTTGTTGGATGTCAAATTCAGCCAAGAGCATAAGGTCAAACAGATTCCTCACTGGCCTTGCAGACAACTTCATTGTCCAGAAAGTGGGAGAAGCAACAAGAGGAACAGCCATTTTAGATCTGGTCCTAACCAATGTTGATGACTGTAATGGTTCTAGGGGTTGCTCGTGCGTAAGCTTGTCCCAACCTCTGGCTGGGTTGCCTGAGTGAACCCTTTCTGTCCGGGCAGCCACTCACCCGTGACTGTCTCAATCGCTGGCAGAATCCGTCAGTGGGCGTTTCTTAAACTTCTTCCAGCAAAGAAGCTCTTTGACGCCAAGTCTCCTCCTACTCTCCCTGCGCAGAAGCCTTCTGCGCAAGGAGGGCGTAGGCAGCGGAGGACCCTTCCTCTCCCCGCTGCTCCCCGGCAAGGAGTCATGGGACCGCCTCGCCGATTCCCCCATCTGCCCCCCTTCTCCACTGGAGCTACGTTGATTCTCCCCCCAAGAAGACGGGCTGCCTCTCCCAATCCCAGGACGCTCTCTGGGATCCCTTTGGAGCTTGCTCTCTCCCTCGGACACTGATGGCAGTTCCCTGACATCCACCTCCTCCTCAGGACCCCTCCCACCCCGGGCGCAATTTTCCGGCACAACCTCCTCCCTCTCCTCGGCCGATGATGCAGGGAATCCCCTGAAAGAGCTGGCATCATCTTCTGAGGATTCAGAACCAGCCTCCCGTCCACTTGGATCCCTTCCCGCTGGTTGACCCTCCCAGTCTGATTCTTCTCCCTCGGACACCTCCTCTCCCTCCTCTTCGGAGGCAGGAAAACCCACAAAATCCCCTTCGTCGTCCGTGGGTCCAAATAGCTCCTCCCAGAATCTCTTTTTTTTTTTTAAAAAAAAGATATTTATTCCAAATTTAGAATTACAGAAAAAGAAAAAACCATACAAAGTAGAATAAACATATAACAAAAAACAGACAATAAGAAAAACTCAACAAGAAGTATAAAAGTACATTACAATAAAATAAAACAAAAATCAAATTAAACCTTTACCTAGCCTTTTTTCCTTTTACTTATTTCCGTGACCTCCTCTCACCTCCCTGCTTTGCATTCTAGTTTAAATCGTATTTCCAGCAAATCCTTCTAGCCTTCTTTTCATTTACTTGTTTTACATTCAATAGTATAATTAGTACTCCTCTATCCCATCATTTTCTATACTTCATTTTTACTTAATCCATAATATCATATCTGCCAAAACGACCTAATAATCTTTTTCCAACCTCTTTCTAACATTCTTTTATGTTGCAATATTTTTGAAGATATGATTTAAATTTTTTCCAGTCTTCTTCCATCGACCCTTCTCCCTGGTCTCGAATTCTGCCGGTCATCTCAGCCAGTTCCATATAGTCCATCACTTTCATCTGCCATTCTTCTCGGGTAGGCAATTCTTGTGTCTTCCAGTATTTCCCAGTAAGTATTCTTGCTGCTGCTGTCGCATACCTCAAAAAAGTTCTATCTTCCTTCGCACCAATTGGCCGACCATGCCCAAGAGGAAGGCCTCTGGTTTCTTTAGAAAAGTATATTTCAATACCTTTTTAATTCATTGTATATCATTTCCCAGAAGGCCTTGATCTTTGGGCACGTCCACCAAAGGTGAAAGAAAGTACCTTCATTTTCTTTACATTTCCAACATTTGTTATCGGGCGTATGATAAATTTTGGCTAGCTTGACTGGGGTTAAGTACCACCTATAAATCATTTTCATTATATTTTCTCTTAAAGCATTACAAGCCGTAAATTTCATACCTGTGGTCCATAACCGTTCCCAGTCAGCAAACATAATATTATGTCCAAAATCTTGTGCCCATTTGATCATAGCAGATTTAACCGTTTCATCCTGTGTATTCCATTTCAGCAACAAATTATACATTCTTGACAGGTTCTTAATTTTAGGCTCTAACAATTCAGTTTCCAATTTGGATTTTTCCTCCTGGAAACCAATCTTTTTATCTAGGTTAAAAGCCTCCCTTATTTGATAATAATGAAGCCAGTCTCGAACTTTAGTTTTTAGTTTGTCAAAACTCTGCAGCTTTAGTTTATCTCCAACTTGTTCTAGAATTTCACAGTATTTTGGCCAGTTTGTCTCCATATTAGCTTTTTTCAAAGCCTTAGCCTCCATTGGTGACAGCCACCTTGGTGTTTTACTTTCCAACAAATCCTTATATCTCACCCAAACATTAAACAATGCTTTCCTGACAATATGGTTCTTAAAGGCCTTATGCGCTTTAACCTTGTCGTACCATAAATATGCATGCCATCCAAACACATTATCAAAACCTTCTAGGTCCAAAATGTCCGTATTTTCAAGAAGTAGCCAGTCTTTCAACCAGCAAAATGCGGCTGATTCATAATAAAGTTTAAGATCTGGCAGGGCAAATCCACCTCTTTCCTTTGCATCTGTTAATATTTTAAATTTTATTCTAGGCTTTTTGCCCTGCCAGATAAATTTAGAAATATCTCTTTGCCACCTCTTGAAACAGTCCATTTTGTCCACAATTTGCAATGTTTGAAACAAAAACAACATTCTAGGCAATACATTCATCTTTATCGCAGCAATTCGGCCCAACAATGATAACTTCAATTTTGACCATATTTCCAAATCCTTCTTTACTTCTGACCAACTCACCTGGAGTACTGTGTCCAGTTCTGGGCACCACAGTTCAAGAAGGACACTGACAAACTGGAACGGGTCCAGAGGAGGGCAACCAAAATGGTCAAAGGCCTGGAAACGATGCCTTATGAGGAACGGCTAAGGGAGCTGGGCATGTTTAGCCTGGAGAAGAGGAGGTTAAGGGGTGATATGATAGCCATGTTCAAATATATAAAAGGATGTCACATAGAGGAGGGAGAAAGGTTGTTTTCTGCTGCTCCAGAGAAGCGGACACGAAGCAATGGATCCAAACTACAAGAAAGAAGATTCCACCTAAACATTAGGAAGAAATTCCTGACAGTAAGAGCTGTTCGACAGTGGAATTTGCTGCCAAGGAGTGTGGTGGAGTCTCCTTCTTTGGAGATCTTTAAGCAGAGGCTTGACAACCATATGTCAGGAGTGCTCTGATGGTGTTTCCTGCTTGGCAGGGGGTTGGACTCGATGGCCCTTGTGGTCTCTTCCAACTCTATGATTCTATGATTCTAACATAGGATTGGGTCAGTGCACTGCAAAAATGTGGACGAAATGTGCCCGCTCATATAAAATTCCTCCCCCACATTGTGCCCATGCTTTGCAGCCCAGGGGAAGGGGAAGGTGGACTATACACTCTTTGGAGGGAAAGGAAAAATCATCTCTGTGATTCGGGACGTTGATGATAAGCTTATCCATAAATGATATTTGTGAATGTGAGAACTAGCTGTGGGGAGAGAATGCTATCCTTCCATTTTTACTACAGGTAACTAATGACTGGAGTTTTGAGTATAAATAGTTTCCTTTATGAATGAAGGATGGAGATGAGAGAGAGAGAGAGAGAGAGAGAGAGAGAGAGAGCGCACAGGGGCGAAGGCTAACTGACACCCGGGGCGGGGCAAACTGCAGGCTGCACACATGTTGCGCCACTACGTACGACGCATGCATGGCGTTGCTACATAGGCTGCATGTGCGGCATCGCTACGTACAGTGCATGCGTGCAACACCATGCATGCATTATACGTAGCAGCAGCCACGAACAGAGGATCCTTCACATGCGACTGCGGTGGTGTGATGGTTGCTTGTGCCGCCGTGCCTGGGGGTGGCGGGGTGAACACCCCATGGGGTGCCTTCTTGTCACCCCTCCAGACATGGCACCTGGGGCGCACTACCCCCCCTTGCAATGCCACTGGGGGAGAGAGAGAGGTTTTTTGCAGTATTTTTATCCGTTTCTTTTACATATCTTGCCAGCAATGCTCCGGACTCTCAGTCTAGCATGCTTTTCACTTTGGGAGCAGCTTAAAAGGGGATATTCTAAAGGTCTAACAGCCAATATTTCCAAACTTTGTTTTGCTGTATGTTTTGTGATTTTAAATCTCTGCTGGGGCTCTCTCACCCAAGAGTACTTGCTCAACAACAACAACAAGGACTTTATTTGTGTAGCCAACAAGCCATAGCATCAAAGGACAAACACCGACAAAAATACATTACAAATATAGTTACCGTATAATCTTATGGCCTATTAAAACCCTAGGTAAAAGCTGGATTATCATTCATCAATGTCCCTCTGTCCCATGGGCAGCGGCCTTTTCTCTGGTAAGTTGTTCCAGGTCGGTTAAGTAAATAGACCAGCCAAATTGAAAGATTATGAATATAAATATAACCTCGGGGGATGGTCAGGACAGGGAAAAAGATAATAGTAACCAGATGCAGATAAGTTAATAATCTCAGTACTTAAAACTTGGCAGAGATAATAAAATACTAATAATAAAACATAATAGTAATAATGATAAGATCCTAAGCGAGGAATCCTTTTTATTATACCTGTACTTTTAAACAGACCAAATTAACTAACAGTGAGCTCCTCCCCCACCTTGTATTATCATGACTTCTCTTTGGGCAAAATGATGCTTACAATAAAGGCACAATATTTCATTAGGGGTTTTTAACATCTGAACCATTCTTACCTGTTTTGGAAACCAATTTTCAGCTTGCAGGAGAATTTGACAAGCTTTCCTGCCCTTGCCAACCCACCCCAACAATCTAATGCTAGATCAAAAGCAAACAGGGCTTCTCAAAATTATTATTTTAAAAATGACATGACAATCCTTTGGCAAATATTCAAATTTGTACGGGCACGTTGAGAATTTCTATGAAAGGGACTTGGCTGATTTTTAATTCAGATGAATTATTCAAAAACATTGCAGTGTATTACTTTATGACTTTTAATGAACCTTGGGATAGGAAGGGTGCTCAAATCTAAATAAGTAATATATGTATTAAAGGTTTCCTTATAAAGATTTTGACATTTGTAGAATCAATGCAAAGTTTTGATTCGGACTGAAGGGCATTGTGTTTTCAGACCGGATGTGAGAAAGTCAACTCATGGCAGTGAGATGATAACTTGCTGACTTGAATGGATCCAGACGATACAAATAGATAATGTATTTGTGGGGGGGGGGGGGAGACATTTAGTGGTGTTCTAACCATTAACTGGAATCTCTTTTCAGGAAAATTGAGTTGCAGCTTGCAGTAAGAGATGTGTTGACTGATGGGATATGACATGATGTTGCAGTCCAGAATAAAGCCAGAATGTTAATCAATGCACAGCAATGCTACAACATTTAGATTAGTTTCTGCTGAGGTATCTGTCATGTCTTTCCCTAAAAGAATCCTGGGACTTGCAGTTTTGGTGATGATACAGTGAATTCTTAGAAAGAATGTTCCATTAACATTTTCTTAAAGAAATGAAAATATCCAAGAGTAGGGGTGTGTCCTCTCCCCACACCAGCAAGGTGAATTACTAAGTGTGGGAACAGGAGACGATATATTGATTATTAATATCCTTCCTAACTTGCGCTAGCAAGTTTCTTCACTGAGCAGAGTGCATTCCCCTTCTTACGCAGCAAATAACTGGCTGCAGATGCATGTGAGCCTCTTAAGACAATAAACAATTCAATCTGGTTTGCCCAACTGGGATATGTTCTATTATTCCTGGTAAGACCCCTTTGATGCCTCCTAAAAGAATAAAGACACCACAGTCTTATTCATAAGTAACAAAAAGTAGTTTTACTCACGATCAGGCAGAGCACAATGTGATCCCTGAAGGAAGGCTTTAGGCTTAAAGTTACAAACATGTACAAACAGGTTTACCCCATATGGGAGATAACCTGGGGGAAAGTTCAGGTGAATCAGGAAATTCGCAGGATGAAAAAGAAGATCGAAGAGAGAGAGAGGTGGCTGCATGACTTGGCCTTTTACCAGGTCTGGAAAGGTCACGCCCACCTACTAGTCACATGAAAGGAAGGATGCTCCAGCCCAGGAGGAACAGGAAGTTTCGTCTGGCTGGACCAAACATTTCCTTGCATGTCCACTCTAGCAAAACAAGGAATGTTATATTTGACTGCTCCCAGTGGATTACATCCCACACCAAGGAATCTCAAAACAACAATAACAACAAAACACAGCTTAGAATAATTAGAAACACAGCTATCAAATAATTAATAATTTTGCACTTCCTTAATCTTCCTGAATGGTTTCACATATTTTGCCTTGGGGGGGGGGGGAAGCAGAGGGTTTAAGAAAATGTCTATCTGAATGTTAATTTGCTATTATTTTGGTACCTTCCCTTTCCTCAGGGGTCGGGTTTGGTAATATGACACCCTGAGCAAGGATGTCATAGGTTGTTGTTGTTGTTTTGCACCCCCTCGGCTCGGCACCCCGTGCAGGGGAACCATCTTAAATCATAGAATCATAGAATCATAGAGTTGGAAGAGACCACAAGGGCCATCGAGTCCAACCCCCTGCCAAGCAGGAAACACCATCAGAGAACTCCTGACATATGGTGGTCAAGCCTCTGCTTAAAGACCTCCAAAGAAGGAGACTCCACCACACTCCTTGGCAGCAAATTCCACTGTCGAACAGCTCTTACTGTCAGGAAGTTCTTCCTAATGTTTAGGTGGAATCTTCTTTCTTGTAGTTTGGATCCATTGCTCCGTGTCCGCTTCTCTGGAGCAGCAGAAAACAACCTTTCTCCCTCCTCTATGTGACATCCTTTTATATATTTGAACATGGCTATCATATCACCCCTTAACCTCCTCTTCTCCAGGCTAAACATGCCCAGCTCTCTTAGCCGTTCCTCATAAGGCATCGTTTCCAGGCCTTTGACCATTTTGGTTGCCCTCCTCTGGACACGTTCCAGTTTGTCAGTGTCCTTCTTGAACTGTGGTGCCCAGAACTGGACACAGTACTCCAGGTGAGGTCTGACCAGAGCAGAATACAGTGGCACTATTACTTCCCTTGATCTAGATGCTATACTCCTATTGATGCAGCCCAGAATTGCATTGGCTTTTTAGCTGCCGCGTCACACTGTTGGCTCATGTCAAGTTTGTGGTCAACCAAGACTCCTAGATCCTTTTCACATGTACTGCTCTCAAGCCAGGTCTCACCCATCTTGTATTTGTGCCTCTCATTTTTTTTGCCCAAGTGCAGTACTTTACATTTCTCCCTGTTAAAATTTATCTTGTTTGTTTTGGCCCAGTTCTCTAATCTGTCAAGGTCATTTTGAAGTGTGATCCTGTCCTCTGGGGTGTTAGCCACCGCTCCCAGTTTGGTGTCATCTGCAAATTTGATCAGGATGCCCTTGAGTCCATCATCCAAGTCGTTGATAAAAATGTTGAATAAGACCGGGCCCAAGATAGAACCCTGTGGCACCCCACTAGTCACTCTTCTCCAGGTTGAAGAGGAACCATTGATGAGCACCCTTTGGGTTCGGTCAGTCAGCCAGTTACAAATCCACTGAGTGGTAGCATAGTCAAGACCACATTTTACCAGCTTCTTTACAAGAATATCATGAGGCACCTTGTCAAATGCCTTGCTGAAATCAAGGTAGGCTACATCCACTGCGTTCCCTTCATCTACCAGGCTTGTAATTCTGTCAAAAAACGAGATCAGGTTAGTCTGACATGACTTATTTTTCAGAAATCCATGCTGACTATTGGTGATCACAGCATTCCTTTCTAGGTGCTCACAGACTGTTTGCTTAATGATCTGCTCCAGAATCTTCCCTGGTATTGATGTCAGACTGACTGGGCGGTAATTATTTGGGTCCTCTCTTTTCCCCTTTTTGAAAATAGGGACAGCATTTGCCCTCCTCCAGTCTGCCGGGACTTTGCCTATTCTCCAGGAATTCTCAAAGATGACTGCCAGTGGTTCTGAGATCACATCTGCCAGTTCTTTTAATACTCTTGGATGCAGTTGATCTGGCCCTGGAGACTTGAATACATCTAAACTAGCCAAGTATTCTTGTACTATCTCCTTAGTTACTCTGGGCTGTGTTTCCTTTGCTGAATCATTTGCTCCAAATTCTTGAGGTCGGGCATTGTTTTCTTTATCGGAGAAGACTGAGGCAAAGAAGGCATTGAGGAGTTCAGCCCTTTCTGTGTCCCCTGTTTGCATTTCACCATCTTCTCCTCTGAGTGACCCCACTGTTTCTTTGTTCTTCCTTTTGCTACGAACATACCCATAAAAGCCTTTTTTGTTGCTTTTAACCTCTCTAGCAAGCCTGAGTTCATTCTGTGCTTTAGCTTTTCTGACTTTGTGTCTACACGTGCTGGCTATTTGTTTGAATTCCTCTTTGGTGGTTTCCCCCTTTTCCATTTTTGTACACATCCTTTTTAATCTTAACTCAGTTAAAAGTTCTTTAGATAGCCACCCTGGCTTCTTTAGGCACCTTCCATGTTTCCGTCTCATTGGTATTGCCTGACGTTGTGCTTTTACTATCTCCTCTTAACAAACTCCCAGCCATCATGAACTCCCTTTCCTTTTAGTATTACTGTCCATGGGATCTCACCCAGCACTTCCCTAAGTTTTATGAAGTCAGCTTTCTTAAAGTCAAGAAATTGAGTCCTAGTATGCTTGGCTGCTCCTTTCCGCTGTATAGTAAACTTCAGAAGAGCATGATCACTCGCGCCTAATGATCCTTCCACTTCTACCCCACTAACCAGGTCATCAACATTGGTTAGGACCAGATCTAAAATGGCTGTTCCTCTTGTTGCTTCTCCCACTTTCTGGACAATGAAGTTGTCTGCAAGGCCAGTGAGGAATCTGTTTGACCTTATGCTCTTGGCTGAGTTTGACATCCAACAAATATCTGGGTAATTGAAGTCCCCCATTACTACTATCTCCCTTCTTTTTGCATGCTTGGCCATCTGTTCCAGGAAGGCATCATCTATGTCCTCCGTTTGGCGCTTAAATTCAACTCCCACCAGCCTCCACTAGCATGATGGGGAATTGCATTCCAGTGATCTCTAGAGGGCACCAGGTTGGTGACCCCTGCTTTTCAGAGTAGGGGGACATAAACATCTGCACAACAAGAAGCCCTCTGATTGGTGCAACATGCCTTTATCAACAATGGATGAAGCAATGATGCTGAGATGTGGTAGGCCAGTGTGAGACTAGGAAGGATACGACCCAACTCTCCATTTGGGCATGAACCTCCCTGGCTGCCCTTGGGCCTGTCCTTCTGTCTCAACCTAACCAACTTCACAGGGGTGTTCTGTGGATACAATAAGTGAGGGAAGAAAGCAGATGTGCTGCCCTGAGCTCCCTGGAAGCTGCCCTGTAATGAGCCAGACCACCAGTCCATGTAGCTGAGCATTGGCAGTGTCAGGCCGTTAGTCAACATGGCGCCCTGCAGATGTTGCTTGATTCAAACTCCCATCCACCCCCTCCATCCAGCCTGGCCATTGGTCAGGGAGGATGGGAAGTGCAGCTCACCAGAACAGCAGCTCTGGCTGGTCTGTTCTAACAGGCAGCCGCTCTCCTGGGGTTCAGGAAGGAGCATTTCCCAGTCCTATCTGGAGATTCCAGGGACTGAACTGGGGGCCTTCCCTGCTATTATAGATATTCATATTTACATTTATGCTGTCCTGGTGGATGTGTTTTGGCTGACATTTTGAGTCACAGCAAGATATTTTGAGCCCTTGTGAAAGCTTTCGAAATGCATTTTTGCTTCGTCTGGAAGTGCCTGTGTGCGATGGATGGAGAATAGATGAGTCACATCAAGAAAGTGAGACTTCAATGAAGTCCCATGTTTCATTCTGTCAGAGCCCTTTTTACACATTTTCTGATCAGGCAGGTGCTGTCTCTCCCTCCTCTCCATTGCCAGCCTCAACATCTCGTGATCACTGACTTTATATTTCTTAAAAAGGAAAAGGAAAAAACAAGAAATAAAATAAACCCGTTAATGGATCTTGGGAGATACGACACTCATCCATTATGAGGTAGAAATTGCCTGTAAAGGAAAGATGCCATCAAACCTTACTAAACTGGGTTATTGCCAGAAGGATGTCTCCCAGCTGATGTATTTCTCAAGGAAGGAATCCTCCCCTCCTGCCCGCAGCTTACAGGGAAAGAAGGGCTGTGGTTCAGTGGGAGAGAACATCTGTTTGGCAGACAGAATGCTCCAAGTTCAATCCCCAACATCTCCAAGTAGGACAAGGAATGTCCTGCCTGAAACCTTGGGGAGCCTCTCAGACAGTGTAGACGAGGCATGTCCAAAGTCAATTTAATCTGGCCCCCAAGGAAGTTTGTTTCCTGGGCAAAATTCCCAAAAAAGCTTCACAAATGTAATCCTAAAAAAAAAAAGAAACAATTTTGGGGTTAAATACTAAAGAAAGCTCTGGGCTAAAATTGCAACAACTTAAATCCTAAAAAAAGCTCAACAACTTTGGTCGGCCCTCATGCATGTTCACTTCATCAAATCTGGCCCTCTTTGAAAAAAGTTTGGGCATCCCTGGTGTAGACAATACGGACAGGCTGTTGGCCTGACATGATATAAGGCAGTTTCTTATATCACTGTGTCTCTCTGCTTATTATTTATTTTATTATTAATTCAGTTTGTAGCCCTCCTGTCCTCCCAAAGGATCCCAGGGCAGCATGCATCTAAAGGTTAAAGGCCACACTATTTTGGTTGCAACAGCTGGGTTTGCATATCAGCCCAGCCCAGACATCAACCACAAAAGACTCAAGTAGAGCAGAATATGTTGATTTTGATGCATGGGGTAAATATGTCAGTTTTGGTTTCTCTCAGTTTCTCATTTGTCTAATCTTATATTCAGTTTCCATATCAGTTTCCATTTCTTTCTTTTTAAAAAAATCCTTATGGAAATTTATCAGCATTTTGGTGCGAATTTCTGGCAAGATGCACTTGTCTGCATGTAATTTTGAGACATTCTATATGCAAAACAGCCACACCCCCAACATGATGTTTTAGCATCTGTTTGAAGTTAAACCAAGAAAACCTTTAATAAACGGTATATTAAAAAAAGAAAAACACACACTTAGACAAAAGAAGAGAAGCAGCCCTGATCTTATCCAAAGTCAGTGGCGTCGCAAGGGGGAGTGGGGTGGGGAATCGCCCCGGGTACCATCCTTAAGGGGGATACCACCCTGAAGGCCCCCCACCCGCAACTCCCAAGCCTACAGTGATTGGCAAAGCACCGGCAAAGCACCCCCCATTTGTGTCAGGACCTTGCAAGAAGGTGTGCACGTGCAGGAAATGGCACCAGAAAGGCTCCTCTTGAATGAGCTGGGTGAATGAGTGTGAAGCTACAGCGTCTCCCGGAAGGGAGGGAGCGAGAGGAGGTGCATGCAATAGAGGGGGGGCTCCCTTTGCTTCCTCCAGCGACTGACAAGAAGGCGCGGGGAGGCGCCCTCACGTCCGATAAGCCACGAGCAAAAGGGCTCGAAATGGAATGCAGCAGCAGGCACGGGCTGCCTCGCTCTTGGTCCCAGGTGCCCGACTGGCCTGCTCCTGCCTCCCTTAGAGGCTCCGCCCCCTGACTCTGCCAGCAGCGTTCTTGTCCCTTTGAGCCACTGGGAGCCAGCTAGGAAAGAGAGAGAGAGAGAGAGAGAGAGAGAGAGAGAGTGATGAGCGCTCCTAGCTGGCTCCCAGTGGTTCAAAGGGGAAGGGACACCTTACACACACACACACACACACACACACACACACACACACACCAGCCCCACAGTCAGCCTTCAGGTATTGTTGAGCTACAACTCCCATCATCCCTGACCACTGGTCCTAGTAGCTAGGGACGATGGGAGTTGTAGTGCAACAATATCTGGGGATTCGAGTTTGAGAAAGGTGCACATCTGTATATGAACACACACATATATTTACAGTTCTCTTTTCTGCCCCTGTTTAAAAACAAACCTACCCAGATGCTTAGAAAGTTGAGGTAATTTTAATCTGGTTTAGTATTTTAACTTTTGTACGTTTTAAAGTAGGGTTGTAAATTTTTCTTGCTTTTACCGGCTTGCCTTTTGTAAACTACTTTGGGGATTTCCCCACAATTTAGGGGATTCCACAGAGAATACAATCTTCTGGGCCACCCCCCCCCCCCAATTCTGAGGGCTGTGAAACTCCCAAGAGCTTCCCCTCTGCTGAGCCTCTGTGTGAGGTTCTGCACCTGTGAGGTCTTTCAGCTATGTGAGGCCTAAGTTATTTAGGGCTTATAACACTAAAGTGAGTACCATAAAATGCAGCTCTTAGAACAGGGCCTATATGAGGTTATGTTCAGGGTTTATTTTCATACAATCCAGCTTGTATGAAATCTACCACCGAGCCAGTGTGGTGTAGTGGTTAAAAGCGGTAGTCTCGTAATCTGGGGAACTGAGTTCGATTACCCGCTCCTCCACAGGCAGCTGCTGGGTGACCTTGGGCCAGTCACACTTCTCTGAAGTCTCTCAGCCCCACTCACCTCACAGAGTGTTTGTTGTGGGGAGGAAGGGAAAGGAGAATGTGAGCCGCTTTGAGACTCCTTAAAGGGAGTGAAAGGCGGGATATCAAATCCAAACTCTTCTTCTTCTTCTTGAGGGAGTACATGGTTCTGGGACAGTTAGCTTAGCACAGTATTTAAGTGTGCTCTGTATCATTCGTTTCAAAAAGACGTAGTGTATTATTACTATTATTTAAATTTATTAGGTTTTTTACCAAGGTAATTCAAAGCAACTTTCAATATATGTACATACAAACACATACATACATTGAAACCAGCATAAATGGAAAAATAAAAACCCTAAAGGAAAATCCTATTTTTAAAAGACGGGATTAAAATATTCCACCCACTCAAGGCCAAAGATAATTAAGAGGCAAAGGCCTTGTTAAAAATGATTTTTATATAATGATGGTGCCAGAACATTCCACAAACAGGGAGTCCACAAAATGGAAAGGTCCATTTTCACATCATCACCCTCCAGATCTTCCAGATGATGAAAGCCAGGTCCAGGGTGCTTTATATGGGCAGAGGTGGTCTTTGAGGTACAGTACTGGGGTCCTTGGGTTAAACCACAAAGCCTAGGACCTGCTGATCAGAAGGTCGGCGGTTTGAATCCCCACTGCTCGTTGCTCGGTCCCAGCTCCTGCCAACCTAGCAGTTCAAAAGCACGTCAAAGTGCAAGTAGATAAATAGGTACCGCTCCGGCGGGAAGGTAAACAGAGTTTCTGTGCGCTGTTCTGGTTTGCCAGAAGCAGCTTAGTCATGCTGGCCACATGACCCGGAAGCTGTACGCCGGCTCCCACAGCCAATAAAGCGAGATGAGCGCCGCAAACCCCAGAGTTGGTCACGACTGGACCTAATGGTCAGGGGTCCCTTTACCTTTACCTTTACTGGGGTCCTGAACTGCATACGGCTTTATAGGTCAAAAGCAGCACTTTGAATTGGGCTTGGAAACTAACTGGTAGCCAGTGTAGTTAGGCCAGGAATTGTGTTATGTGCTCAAGCAGTCTTGCTGGTTTGGGGTGGGGGGTGGGGAGGAGAAGTGGTGCCTAGGAGAGCTCCGCAGCCCAGCTGGTTTGAGGAGAGAGAGGGAGAGAGAGAGAGAGAGAGAGAGAGAGAGAGAGAGAGATAGATCACACGCTGGTTTAGGGGTGGAGAGGAGAGGAGAGGAGGGAGGCAAGAATGAGCCGTGTCTCTGACGAGGCAAGGCAGGATCAGGACCAGTAACAGTATCACCTGCATGGCTTTCTTTGACGGAGGGGGGTGGAGGGAGGGAGGGGGAGAAGGCGGGATCTGCATCATGATCACCTGCATAGTTTTATTTGATAGATTTCAATTTCAGTATTGGGGGGGTGACAAAAAAATTCCGCACCGGGTACCACCTGGCCTTGCTACACCACTGTCCAAAGTGTGAAAAGAGACCTTTCAAGGGGCCACAAAACAAATGAGTTTATAACAGGCAAAGCAAATGAATTGCATAATCCAGTGGTGTGATAGGAGAGACTTTCCATTCTGAGGCGGCTTATCATAACTTGCTCAGTATTTGGCTGTGCTCTGCCATCTGAGAAAAGATTCCTCATATCTTGATTCCTGCTCCTCTGTGGCGTGTCTTACATGAGCAAAATCATTGAACAAATTGCTATATTCTTGGGCTAGGCTGTATTTCTTTTCCCTCCCACCCCTTCTTCTTCATTCTAATAGCTGAGCATAATCTGTTGTTTTGGTCACAGTCTCATTGTGCTGTACAGCGTTTGATGGTTATAGTGTGCTTTACTATGCATTTAGGCCATGTGCTCTGCTTTTTGCTGTGTTTGTCCCTGATTCACACAACCTCACACTAACTGCCTCCATTGTTTGTGGAGGATTAGCACATTTGTGCAATTGGAGATATCTAACAACAAGCATTAAGGTGTAATTGTTCTAAATGCTGCTATTTAAAAAGCATAACTATAGTATAATTGCAATGTAACTACTGTCAATAACATTACTTAAAGAATGGCCAATTAAGTCATCATCTATTATCATTTAAGCAATTAAGCAATGAAACTTGGCTCCCGCCTCTTGCAAGGTTAGAGGGTGGAGCTGGGTGTCTCCTACACAGAGGAGGGTTAGCCAACACCATGACCTCCATCTGCTGTGTGATTCAGTCATCCGTGGACCTTGACTAGGCTAACTGACAATGATGGGAGCTAGAGACCAAGAGCGTGCAGAAGGTTTGGTGGTGCTGGCCATGTTGGAGACACAGTTGCTTCAACTTTGAGATCTGGGGCTCCGGCAAGATTTTTCAGCCTCCTCTGTCACTCACTTCAAAACTATTTGGACTCTCTTTCTAGTGTTCATGTTGAATGCATGAAAACCATTTCTCTCACTGCCCCTCCCCAACTTAAGTTCAGTTCTCCATATTTCTACATCAGTTTGCAATTTTCTTTTTCAAGTGCTCATGAAACTTCATCAGAATTTTGGTGCAAAATCCTCCTAATATGCACATTGTTGTATGCAATTTTGCCTAATATACACATTTTCAAAAAAAGTATTTTCCGCCAATATAGGGCATTTCTGCATGTTATTTATTCTAAAATGTGTGCATTTTTCTGACCACTGTATCCTAATATATGCATTGCTTTGGCTCTTATACTCCCAAAATTTTCGGCCTTCTTAAAAAAAAAAGTCAAAAGGCACTTAAAATGGAATTTAAGTTTTATTCTCTTTCTATTGTATTACTATGATTGTGCTGTGCAGACTTTTGTATTCTCATGCTATCTTAAGTTCTATATGTTTTAAATGCATTGTGTGTTTTGTACTATTAGCATATTGTTACATGCTATCCCCAGTCTCTGAGCAGGAAAAAACTCCAGGGGTTCCTGCTCCTATGCAGGGCTCAGTTTCCTTGGAATTATGGTCAATGATGCTTGTCATGTCTTTGGCTTTAGTTATATATGGCTTTATTTTCACATATACACAACCTAAGCATAGGATGGTGGGACTCGCAGCATTAACATTCGCCACAGCTTTATATCCAGCATGGAGCAAGGTGGTATGTCTTCTGTTTCCAGCTTACAGTTTCCAGCTTCCATCTTCCATCTCTCTCACTCCCCCCCCCCTCACCCGAACAACAAATTCTCCTATTGTTCTGAGAGGCCCATCCATTTACTTCCATGGCACAGAGCTTCTTTGGAAATGTTAAATGATGGTATTTAACTAGCCAGTCAAATCTATTGCATCAGAGCTCTTATGCTATTAGGGCCAAAACATCAGATGTGCCTGGTGGCAACAGCATAGCTAGCCGCTTGGGTGCCTGGGGCAGCACGCCTGCCTTGCAGCCAGGGGCAAACTACCCATGGGGGTGGAGCAAGCCAAGCCAGGGCACGCTGCGTGGAGCCTCTCTGCAGCCTCCCCCTCGGCTGTAGGGCGGCTGAGGCAGGCAGACGCAAGCCCACGCTGCTCAAAACAGCAGCGCGGAGCTTGCAGGCAGGCAGGCAGTCTGCGCGCTGCCTCCCCCTCAGGAGAGATGCATGGCTCAGGCATGCTGCAGTCCCCGCGGTGTGATGCCCCCCTGCCTCACCTAGCTGTGCCTCTGCCTTCATGCTCACCTAAGTGTGGATCTCCAAATGCTTTCCCCTCAATTCCCCGAGCCCTCCCCCCCCATTGCTCTTGCTCTTGCCCTACCATAGCAGTCAGAGGCTGGACTGTGGCTGGACGTATGCTGATGCTGGTGAGAGGAATGCAGCCCGCTTATGGAGAGGGGAAGAAATGGGGCCGGCTGGTGGGTTTCTGGCTTATTGCAGAAATTCAAAAGCTGCTTTTTAGGGCAACGAGCCTCCAAAGGCAGCTTCCACCATGCAGTCATAAAACCCAGAGCAACCCACTCACTCCCACACCGCCCCTGACAATACCAGAAAAGCAGCCCTCATGGAAACCTGTCCCAAGTAGCCTCAGCCCATTTCAACCCGATCAAGCCTTGGAAACCTTCCAGGTGGCTGAAACCTGGCAGGAAGATCCCCACCACCTCTCCTGGCCTCCAGGGGGAACCTCACTCTCTGCCCAGCTGGCCGCACAGGGACCCTCCTGGTTGCAGAGGGAAGCGGCTTTCCTCCGTGGAGAGGAAGTGAGTGCCAAAGTGAGCCGGGGAGGGAGACAGGGAGGAGGAGGCAGCTTAGGCAGATTCATGGAGGAGAGGGCTGTCAAAGGCTACTAGCCATAAAGGCTGTGCTCTGCCTGCAAAGTTGGAGGCAGCAATGCTTCTGGTTTCTGGAAACCAGGCGAGGGGAGAGGGCTCCTGCAGTGGTGTGGGAAGGGGCCTGTGGTGGGTGCGGGAGTTATTTTGTGTCACCCCACCCTCAGTGATGACACCCGGGTCAGACCACACACACACACACACCTTCCTACACCACTGCCTGGTGGGGAGGGGGGAATTTGGCATCAGATCTCCCTTCTGAACGTCGGTGAAGGGCCTCTGGAATGCTTTGCCAGGGACCCTATTATTGCAGCCTAAATAAAGAAATGATACTGCATTATTGTCTGGATGAAGTGAGAATGACAGTGACCCTCCATGATTGCACACAGGAGTGTTGCCTAGTCCTTATGTGTGGATTCTCATAGGAGTCAGAGATGGTCACCAACAACTTGGAAGGTGTTTTTTTAAGGGTTAGACACAGTCATGGAGGATGAGGCTACCCCTGGCCAACAGCCATAATGACTATGTTCTGCCTCCACCATTGGAGGAGCCTTTGCCGGCTCTCTGCTGCCCAGGATTCCTCTGCCAGGTCCACTGTAGCCAGCACCACACTTCTGGAAGGGCATTTTGAGAAATGCAGCCAGCTTCCTGAAGTACGCCAGCAGCCTTGGTGGAGGTCTCATGGAGGAGGAAGCAGGACATCTAGGATGGACATCAGACACTGGTGCAGCTTCTGTCAATCTGGGATGTCCTATTCAAAGCAGGATGGTTGGCAGGTATGAGATACTGGTCTAGATTGTTCTTTGACACAACCCAACATGGTCCTCTTGTGTTTTTATGATGCCAGGGATTGAATCTGGAACCTTCTGCAAGCAATGCATGTGCTCAACCTCTGAGCAAAAGCCTTTCTCCCTTTTTAAAAAAAAAACCAAGAGGCCAGAAATTTGTAAGTATCCTTAGCCCCAGCACAGCACCAGTGCAATTCCCCTCTCTTTCTCTTTTATCATTCTGTTCCTTCTGTTATGGCCCAGTTCACAGGAAAGCTATTTGAAGCAGCTGATCTCGAACAAAAGTTTAATTTTTGTTTTTATTGATATCATTCATCACCAAGCACCAACTATAAATACAGGTTTCCTTAGTTACCATGTTCAAGAATAGTCAGAGAAATAAGCATTTTATAAAGAAAGAAAAGACTGAAGCATAGACAATTCTCTAAAACCCCTTTTTTATACCATAGAGAGCCACTGTGCTTAAGTCCAATATCTCACAAATGGCTGGTGCTTTTCAATATTAGAAATTTTGGGAGCCCCATGGATCAAAGGATGTGATTTAATGTGTGATGGATAACAGGGTGTTGGGCTGTGGAATGAAGCAAGTTCAACACTCTGCTATTACATTACAGTGGTATTACACCAAGCAGTGACAGTACAAACAACAAGGGATAGCTAAGAATAAACAATAAGGGATGGCTGTTAAGAGAGGTGGTTGTTCTGTTCTGTTCTGCTTTTGTTTTTGTTTTTGTTTTTTCACAAAGTCACACTCAGGCTATTGACATGTGGTCACCTGTCTCAAGAGCTCCATTTGGATTGGTGACCACAAGCTACAACAGTCTTGCCAAAGAAATGAGGAGCCAGCTGCTGAATGATGTGACTCAGCCCTTCCAATACAGGGATTGAAGGCATCAAGTCTGGTGGTCGTGAGGCATTCTCTTGGAGTTGGGACATTTGGAGCACACTTCCCAATATCATTTCCACCTTGTCCTTTTCAAGGCCCCCAGACTAGATGATTCATTGATTTCCAGTCAGAAAGAAGAGAAGGCAGGATGTTTAGATCAAGGGGTGTGAAACCTGTGGCCCCTCACATGTTTGTAGAGTTTCAGAGTTGGAAGGGCCCAAGGGTCATCTTGTCAAATCTCCTACAATACAGGAATCCCAGCTACAGCATCCCTGACAGATGGCCATCCAACCTCTGTTTAAAAACCTCCAGTGATTGAGAGTCCACCACCTTCTGAGGTAGTCAATTCTACTGTCAAACAGCTCTTACCATTATAAAGTTTTTTCCTAAAGTTTTGTTGGAATTGCTTTTATTGTCACTGGAATCCATTGGTTCAGGTCCTATGCTCTGGAGCAGCAGAAAACAAGTTTGCTCCTTCTTTCGTGTGACAGCCTTTTATGGCTATCATATCAACTCTCAGTCTTTTCTTCTCCAAGCTAAACACCTGCAACTCCTTCAACTGTTCCTCATAAGATTTGGTTTCCAGCCCCTTGATCATCTTGGTCGCCTTCCTCTGCTCATGTTCCAAGCATGTCAATATCCTTCTTTAATTGTGCTGCCCAGAACTGGACACAGGACTCCAGGTGTGGTCTGACCAAAGCAGAAGAGAGCAATACTATGGCTTCCCTTGATCTGGACACTATGCTTCTCTTGACGCAGTCTAGAGTTGCATTATCTTTTTTTGGCTGCTGCATCACCTGGTTGACTCGTGATAAGCTTGTGGTGCACTAAAAGCTCTAGACCATTTTCACACGTACTGCTTCCCCCCCTCCTACATTTTTGCATCTGATCTGTTACAGCACTCCTAACAGGAAATGCCACAGGTTGATCCTAGTCCTTTTGGTGTGCCAAAAATACCCCATGGAGCAGGAGCAGCATGTCCAGTTTGCCACCTGAGGCCAAATGGGAATCACCTCCTCCTTCCTCTACCACAGACGCATTCTCCGCTGCTACCACTGTGCCTCCCCCTTCTGCCACTGGAATACCCCAGCTCTTGTCAAACTCAGCAGAAAAAGGGTATTCTGCAAAGCGTTGTCACTCAGCTCCTTTGCCCAAGGGCAGAGAAGATGGCTGGCAGTAGTGTGCACCAGAATGCCTCCCTGTCACCCATGACAGGGGGTGTTCCAGTAGGGGCAGAAGAAATGAGGTGGGCCTGTTGCACTTCTGCCATCTGAGCTGGGTGTTTCACCCCACCCCATGAGCGGGCTCTGCCACGGAGCCTCAGCTATGTTTAATTTTAAGGCATGTTCCTAGACCTCATGACTATGGCGCCCAAGGGAACTTGGAAGCCGTGGTCCTCTGACTCCGTGTGCTTGGTGAGTCTCTGCAGCATGTCCTGCCCTTCCCGTGGCATCATGTTGATATAACAAAAGGTATAGCAATAGCCTGCTTGGTAGGGAAAGATAAATCGTCTTTTTTGAGTGAGCTTGTGAACTTGTGCTCCTGCCCACAATGGAGGTCTGGTGAGGCAGCTGGTACGGCAGGAATCCCACTGTTAGACAGAGGCTTTTGATTCAGAGATAAATGAGGGAATGCGGTGTTTGTTTGCTCTGCAATGTGATACTAGCCATCTGCTCATTGACCAGCAATTTCATAACTTAAAGCATTGATCTGTTGTTTCTCTTGCCTCTCTCTTTTGTGGGCGTGGTGGTCAGAAGTGGTAAGAAGCAGAAGTGGTGCCGTACAGAAAGATACCGTATTTTTTGCACCATAACACTCACTTTTTTCCTCCTAGAAAGTAAGGGGAAATGTCTGTGCGTGTTATGGAGGGAATGCCTACGGATGGCGGGGGGATCTGCTGCAGTCATGAGCAGAGGATCCATGGTTCCCCTTCCTTCCCTCCTCCGTGGCTCGCTTTGAAACAGCAAAGTGGGAGAAGAGCCGCTGAGTGGGGAGGAGAGAGGGACAGAGAGCCTGATTCTTTAAAGGAGCAAAGCGGGAGAGGAGCCTTCTCCCCTTATACCCCTCTTCTTCATTATTAGCAGCATCCTTCTCCACACACCCCACGCGTGCTCCTTGTCCCTTGAGTGCTTTTCCTTCCCTCCCCACTTAAAAAGTGGTTACAAAGCATGGATCCACATGGATCCTCAGGATTTTTGCACTGGGTCACCCCAAATTCACCATCAGATCACATAGCATGTCCATGGCTACATCTTGCACGAAAAAAATCACGCACCCACTGTTGCCTGGGGCCGCAGTGGTGCAAAAACGTGGTTACAAAGCACGGATCCACATGGATCCTCAGGATTTTTGCATTGGGCTACTCCAAACTCACTGTCAGATCACATGTCTGTGGCCACAGCATGAACCACAAAAATCATACATCCACTGTTTCGTTTAGAATATTTTTTTTCTTGTTTTCCTCCTCTAAAAACTACGTGCATGTTATGGTCGGGTGCGTGTTATAGAGCGAAAAATACGGTAACTGGTGGAATCCCAGGACTTTTTATTTTTTATTTTGTGGAGAGAGGAAACACGAGCAATGCCTGCTTCCCATGTAGGCTCTATAAGCCTAGCTTAGAAAAACTGCAAATGGCTTAAGATCATAAGAAAAGCCTGCAGGATCAGATGAGTGGCCCATCTATTCTGACATCCTAGTCTCCCTGAGGTCAGCCAGATGCTTGTGAGACAACAGGAACGCTTCCTTTCTGTGCTTTCCAGCAACTGTTACCCAAAAACCCATTGAAAGTCCTTTCCTGCACGAATAACCCTCTCCTCCATGAAAGACATCTCCCTTAATGGCTCAGACGGATCCCACGAGTGTCCTGGGGAAACACTGGGGAGTGGGAGGAGCTATTCACTGGCAATCTTAGAATCATAGAATCATAGAGTTGGAAGAGACCACAAGGGCCATCGAGTCCAACCCCCTGCCAAGCAGGAAACACCATCAGAGCACTCCTGACATATGGTTGTCAAGCCTCTGCATAAAGACCTCCAAAGAAGGAGACTCCACCACACTCCTTGGCAGCAAATTCCACTGTCGAACAGCTCTTACTGTCAGGAAGTTCTTCCTAATGTTTAGGTGGAATCTTCTTTCTTGTAGTTTGGATCCATTGCTCCGTGTCCGCTTCTCTGGAGCAGCAGAAAACAACCTTTCTCCCTCCTCTATGTGACATCCTTTTATATATTTGAACATGGCTATCATATCACCCCTTAACCAGTTTGTCAGTGTCCTTCTTGAACTGTGGTGCCCAGAACTGGACACAGTACTCCAAGTGAGGTCTGACCAGAGCAGAATACAGTGGCACTATTACTTCCCTTGATCTAGATGCTATACTCCTATTGATGAGGCCCAGAATTGCATTGGCTTTTTTAGCTGCCGCATCACACTGTTGGCTCATGTCAAGTTTGTGGTCAACCAAGACTCATAGATCCTTTTCACATGTACTGCTCTCAAGCCAGGTGTCCACCATCTTGTATTTGTGCCTCTCATTTTTTTTGCCCAAGTGCAATACTTTACATTTCTCCCTGTTAAAATTCATCTTGTTTGTTTTGGCCCAGTTCTCTAATCTGTCAAGGTCGTTTTGAAGTGTGATCCTGTCCTCTGGGGTGTTAGCCACCGCTCCCAGTTTGGTGTCATCTGCAAATTTGATCAGGATGCCCTTGAGTCCATCATCCAAGTCATTGATAAAGATGTTGAATAAGACCAGGCCCAAGACAGAACCCTGTGGCACCCCACTAGTCACTCTTCTCCAGGATGAAGAGGAACCATTGATGAGCACCCTTTGGGTTCGGTCAGTCAGCCAGTTACAAATCCACTGAGTGGTAGCATAGTCAAGACCGCATTTTACCAGCTTCTTTACAAGAATATCATGGGGCACCTTGTCAAATGCCTTGCTGAAATCAAGGTAGGCTACATCCACTGCGTTCCCTTCATCTACCAGGCTTGTAATTCTGTCAAAAAACGAGATCAGGTTAGTCTGACATGACTTATTTTTCAGAAATCCATGCTGACTATTGGTGATCACAGCATTCCTTTCTAGGTGCTCACAGACTGTTTGCTTAATGATCTGCTCCAGAATCTTCCCTGGTACTGATGTCAGACTGACTGGGCGGTAATTATTTGGGTCCTCTCTTTCCCCCTTTTTGAAAATAGGGACAACATTTGCCCTCCTCCAGTCTGCCGGGACTTCGCCTGTTCTCCAGGAATTCTCAAAGATGACTGCCAGTGGTTCTGAGATCACATCTGCCAGTTCTTTTAATACTCTTGGATGCAGTTCATCTGGCCCTGGAGACTTGAATACATCTAAACTAGCCAAGTATTCTTGTACTATCTCCTTAGTTGTTCTGGGCTGTGTTTCCTCTGCTGAATCATTTGCTCCAAATTCTTCAGGTTGGGCATTGTTTTCTTTATCGGAGAAGACTGAGGCAAAGAAGGCATTGAGGAGTTCAGCCCTTTCTGTGTCCCCTGTTTGCATTTCACCATCTTCTCCTCTGAGTGACCCCACTGTTTCTTTGTTCTTCCTTTTGCTACGAACATACCCATAAAAGCCTTTTTTGTTGCTTTTAACCTCTCTAGCAAGCCTGAGTTCATTCTGTGCTTTAGCTTTTCTGACTTTGTGTCTACACGTGCTGGCTATTTGTTTGAATTCCTCTTTGGTGGTTTCCCCCCTTTTCCATTTTTTGTACACATCCTTTTTAATCTTAACTCAGTTAAAAGTTCTTTAGATAGCCACCCTGGCTTCTTTAGGCACCTTCCATGTTTCCGTCTCATTGGTATTGCCTGAAGTTGTGCTTTTACTATCTCCCTCTTAACAAACTCCCAGCCATCATGAACTCCCTTTCCTTTTAGTATTACTGTCCATGGGATCTCACCCAGCACTTCCCTAAGTTTTATGAAGTCGGCTTTCTTAAAGTCAAGAAATTGAGTCCTAGTATGCTTGGCTGCTCCTTTCTGCCTTATAGTAAACTTCAGAAGAGCATGATCACTCGCGCCTAATGATCCTTTCACTTCTACCCCACTAACCAGGTCATCAACACTGGTTAGGACCAGATCTAAAATGGCGGTTCCTCTTGTTGCTTCTTCCACTTTCTGGACAATGAAGTTGTCTGCAAGGCCAGTGAGGAATCTGTTTGACCTTATGCTCTTGGCTGAGTTTGACATCCAACAAATATCCGGGTAATTGAAGTCCCCCATTACTACTATCTCCCTTCCTTTTGCATGCTTGGCCATCTGTTCCAGGAAGGCATCATCTATGTCCTCCGTTTGGCTTGGGGATCTATAGTAAACTCCCACAATGAGGTCACTGTTATTCTTCTCTCCCTTAATTTTAACCCAAATGCTCTCCCTTTGGCTTTGAGGTTCTAAATCTTGGATCTCTTCACAGTTATACACATCCCTGACATATAACGCCACTCCTCCTCCTTTCTTGTCTGGTCTGTTTCTCTGAAATAGATTGTGTTCCTCCATTATTACATTCCAATCGTGGGACTTATCCCACCAGGTTTCAGTGATGCCTATTATGTCATATTTAGTTTGCTGTACCAAGAGCTCAAGCTCATCTTGTTTATTTCCCATGCTTTGCGCATTAGTGTACAGACATTGAAGTCCATTAATCATTCCCCGTGACTCTTATTTAAGGATTTTTCCTCCCACCACTAGGTCTGTGTGCTGTTTGCTCCATTTGGTCTATGACATTTGGATGATCATCTTCATCAATTGATAGACTCCTACCTTCAGGAGCACTGTCTCCCTCCCCACATTAGTCAGTTTAAAGCCCTCCTGATGAGGTTTCTGAGATTTTGGCAAAAACATTCCTCCCAACCGTTGTGAGGTGCAGCCCATCGCTTGCCAGAAGTCCATCTTCAAGAAACTGCAGTCCGTGATCTAAGAATCCAAACCGTTCCTGTTTACACCATTTGTAAAGCCAGCTGTTCACTTCCACTATTTTTCCCTCTCTCCCTGGGCCACGTCGTTCAACAGGGAGGACAGATGAGATGACAATTCATTTATCTCTGAATCAAAAGCCTACTCCTAACCACTCCTCTCAAGAGGAGTTAACCAACAAGCATGGCTTGGATCTACCACTGATAGCTTCTCCATCACCAGTGTCATAGAGATGTCCAGCTTGCTCAAGTTGCTGTGCTAAAGGGGACACAAGGGAGCAGGACCCTGGTGGAATCAACATCTTAGCTTGCTTGCCCATGCCTAGCACTGCTCATGCCTTTGAACCTTATTCTGCCTTAATCTGAGCATTAAAGAGTTTGGCAGAAAACACAGAATCATAGAATTCTAGAGTTGGAAGGGACCCCAAGGGTCATCAACCCCATGCAATGCAAGAATCACAGCTAATGGCATCCTCTGAATTTCAGTTCTTCATCCTCCAGTAATAAAGTTCACATTCTTTTTCCTCTTCTAACCACTCCAGAAGACTCAGAGCCCCTTGATAATTTGGTGCACTGTGGGCTGAAGATGGAGGGAGGAGTTCCTGGAAACTAAGGAAGTCCAGTGTGGATGAGGGAGCAACCCAGTTATGGACCACAACACTACAGTTGAAGGGAAGAATGGCCAGTAGGGGTGGAGCAGATGCACACACACCAGAAGGGGTGCAGCTCAAATCCCCGGCATCTCCTAGTAGGGCTGGGAGAGAGACCTCCTGTCTGAAACCCTAGAGAGCCACTGCCAGCGAGTGGAGACAATGCTGACTTTGATGGGACACTGGTCTGATTTGGTATAAGGCATTTTCCTGTGTTCCTATGAAGTGTGAATTATTTTAACAGGTAGACCAGAATCAGAAGACCTCCATCCTGAAATGTGGTGGGCATTCCTTCACTTTTCTACTTTTCACCACTTCTCTACTGTCACATGTGGAAATGTTGGAAGCCACCTGAATTGCATGAATGGAATGAATGGGCCTGTCCTCAAATAATAATAATAATAATAATAATAATAATAATAATAATAATAATTTATTTATACCCCGCCCATCTGGCTGGGCCTCCCCAGCCACTCTGGGCGGCTTCCATAGAAACCAAAAATACAGTAAAATATCACACGTTAAAAACTTCCCTGAACAGGGCTGCCTTAAGATGTCTTCTGAATGTCAGGTAGTTGTTTATTGCTTTGACATCTGCTGGAAGGGCGTTCCACAGGGCGGGCGCCACTACCGAGAAGGCCCTCTGCCTGGTTCCCTGTAGCTTTGCTTCTCGCAATGAGGGAACCGCCAGAAGGCCCTCGGCACTGGACCTCAGCGTCCGGGCAGAACGATGGGGGTGGAGACGCTCCTCAGTGGCGTAGCGTGGTGGGTGCAGGGGGTGCCGGCCGCACCGGGCGCAACATCTGGGGGGGCACTCGCACTCGCAGCTCTCTGCCCCTACCTGGCTCACTCCCTCTCTCTCACTGCAGTGCTGGCTGTGCGAATCCGATCTGAGCCGCCTGTGCTGGTCCCGGGGGTAAGGTACCTTGGGTGTAGCAGAGTCCACACGAAGAGGGGCAAGGTCCGAGGCAGAGAGCCGGGCGGGGAACAGGAATGCTGGAACAGGAGGCTGTGCAGGGAACAGGAACACCGGATGGTCGGGAACAGGAGGCCGAGCAGGGAACAGGAGTACCGGATAGTCAGGAACAGGAAGCCGAGCAGGGATCAGGAACACAGGAAGGTCCGAGCCAACAACGACGTTGCTCCCGCAACCTGGGGCCGGGCTGACTGGGCTTTTATCCTCTTCTAAGGCCAGGGGCGGTCCCGGTCCCCAGGAGCCCCGCCTCCTCTGGCCTTAAGGCGAGCACTCCTCCTGGGGGCAACCAGTTCCCTTCGCCTCTCTGCCCTAAGCCTCTGCAGATCAGGAGAGGCCGAAGGGTTACTGGGCCCTGGAGGAGGCTCACCTGTGGCCACTGAGTCATCAAGCCCCTCTGGGGCCCGAAGGGCTTCACCTGGGGCCAGCTCCTGATGCACTGCCACAGGTGCAGGCTCTTCAGCATCAAGGCCTTGCCCCAGTTCAGCCGGCCCTGGAGGCGGGGACTCCTGTGCAGGCCGGGATTCCTCTGTTTCATCCTCCGAATCGGAATCCCAGGCCATCACACCATCCCCCCTCCCCGGCCCCCCCCCGCCACCGAGGGGCCGGACCCGGCTTGCCGGGATACGGCGCATGGAACTCTCGGAGGCAGGCAGGTGCATGGCCCTTGGCCGCTGGTTCCCAGGAACGGTCCTCCGGTCCGTACCCCTTCCAGTCAATGAGATACTGCAGCTTTCCCTGCGGTATCGGGAGTCCAGGATGCGTTCCACCTCGTACTCAGGCTCTCCCCGAACCAACACTGGCTGCGGTCGGGGACGGTTCTGGTGGAACTCGCCGGGTGGGGCCACCGGACTCAAAAGGGACCTGTGGAAGACCGGGTGAACCTTCAGGGTTGCGGGTAACCGGAGACGGAATGCCACAGGAGAGATTTGGTCTACGATAGGGAACGGGCCGGTGAAGCGGGCGTCCAACTTCCGCGAAGGTCGAGAGGGGTGGAGGTGGCGAGTGGAGAGCCAAACCAGGTCACCGACGCGGTTCCGGCCCCACCTGGCGGTGGCGGTCGGCCTGGGCTTTGTACGCTTCCTTGGCCTGGTGCAGTTGCTCCACCAAAAGCTGTTGCTGGGACTGGAGCTCTTGAAGCCACTCCGTCACCGCCGGGACCGCGGATGCCGGCAGCACCTCTGGAAACAGCCGTGGATGATAACCATAACTGGCCTGGAACGGGGTCTGCTGGGTGGACGCATTCACCGCGTTGTTATAGGCGAACTCCGCCAATGCCAGGTGGTCGACCCAGTCATCCTGCTGGTAGCTGCAGTAACACCGGAGGTACTGCCCAGCACCGCGTTCGCCCGTTCCGTCTGGCCATCGGTCTGTGGGTGGTAGGCTGACGAGAGGCAGACCTCTGTCCCGAGGGTCTGGTGTAATGCTCGCCAGAACCGGGATGTGAACTGAACGCCCCGGTCGGACACCACGCGCTCAGGTAGTCCATGCAGGCGGAAGACATGCTGAAGGTACAGCTGAGCAGTTTCCTTGGCTGTGGGTACAGATGGACAGGGAGCGCAGTGCACCATCTTGGTGAAATGGTCGGAGAAAACCAGAAGGCAGGTACAGCCACGAGACGAGGGTAAGTCCACTACAAAGTCCAACGAAACTGTGTGCCAAGGGCGCGGTGGAACTGGCAATGGCTGAAGTAGGCCGGGGGTCGCCCGGTAGGCCCCTTGGCGCGTCGGCAGACATCACAACCAGCAACGTAGCGAGCCACGTCAGCCTTCAGGCGGGGCCACCAAAACTCACGACTGACCAGATGGGTGGTCCGATACCGTCCAAAGTGCCCCGCTGCCGGGGCATCATGGGCCATCCGGAGAACCTCCAGCCGCAGTGGCCCTGGCGGGATGTACAGACGACCGTGGTGCAGCAGGAGGCCCTGATGCAGGACCAGCCCCGGATACTGTGGGCTGGACCCTTCAGCCAGCTCCCGGAGTCGCTCCTGGGCCCAAGCGCCGACCCGCTGCTGTTCCCGCACCCGAACCTGCAGTGGCTGCGCCTCCTGGGTGGCCAGGAATGCGGCCGGAGGTAGGATCGTGGCGGGTTCTGCTTGCTGTACCGTGTCTGCGTTGTCTTCAGGTTTCCGGGACAGGGCATCCGCCTTCAGATTCTGAGAGCTAGGGATGTAGCGGATCCGAAACTGGAACCGGAAAAGAACAACGCCCACCGGATCTGTCTTTGGTTCAGCTTGCGGGTGGTCTGGAGGTACTCCAGGTTCCGGTGGTCGGTTCTTACCTCCACCGGATGTCGTGCCCCCTCAAGATGGTGGCGCCAGACCTCAAAGGCTACCTTGATGGCCAGTAGTTCCCGCTCCCACACAGTATAGTTACGCTCCGCTGGTAGGAGCTGGCGGGAATAGAAGGCACAGGGTAAGAGTGGCGCTTCGGGCCCAATCTGTTGAGACAAGACGGCACCGAGAGCCGTACTGGAGGCGTCGGTCTCCACCACAAAGGGTCGAGAGGGGTCAGGATGTTGTAAGATTGGTGCCCTCTGGAAACAGGCCTTCAACCCCTGAAACGCCTCCTCTGCCTCCTTGTCCCAGGAAAACGGCGTCTTTGGGCGCAGTAGCCGGGTCAACGGGGTGGTGCGATGAGCATAATCAGCGATGAAGGTCCGGTAGTAATTGGCGAACCCCAGGAAACGTTGTAGGTCCTTGCGGTTCCGGGGTGCCGCCCATTCTTGAACCGCTGTCACCTTCCCCGGGTCCATTTGCACCCCATCCGGAGAGAGCCGGTGACCAAGGAAGTCCACAGTCCGCTGATGGAACTCGCACTTGCTGAGCTTTGCGTACAAACGGTGCTCACGCAAGCGCTGCAGCACGGTCCGGACATGTCCCTCATGGCGAGCCGGGTCACGGGAGTAAATCAGTATGTCATCCAAATACACCACCACGTACTTGTCTAACAAGTCCTGAAACACGTGGTTGATGTAGCGTTGGAACACAGCAGGCGCGTTGCACAACCCGAAAGGCATAACCAAATATTCGAACTGCCCGTACCGGGTCCCAAACGCTGTCTTCCACTCATCCCCGGCTCGGATCCGAATCAAGTTGTAGGCCCCCCGGAGGTCCAGCTTGGTGAACACCTGTGCCCCTTGCACCCGCTCCAGCAGCTCCGAGATAAGGGGCAAGGGGTATCGGTCTGGGACGGTAATTTTGTTCAAGGCTCGGTAATCATGGCAAGGGCGGAGTTCCCCACATTTCTTCTTAACGAAAAGCACTGGTGCCGCGGTAGGCGAGGTGGACGGCCTAATGAACCCACGCTCCAGGTTCTTGCGCAAGAAGTCCTGCAAAGCCTCGCGCTCTGGCTCTGTTAGAGAATATAAGCGACTCACTGGTAGAGGCGCTCCGGGTTGGAGGTCTATGCCGCAGTCAAAAGGCCGATGCGGCGGCAGCTGGTCTGCCCCCCGTTCCTCGAACACGTCCTGGTAGTCCTGATACACGGCTGGGAGCGTGGGTGCTGCCTCCTCTGAGGCGCGGCCGCCAGCGTCCCGGATTGAGCATGGGAACATGGGTCTGGGAAGTGCACGGTCCGCTTGACCCAGTGAATCTGAACGTTGTGGGCTTCCAGCCAGTCCATCCCGAGCACCAGGGGGAAGCGGGGCATAGAGGCAATGTCCAAAGTTCGCAACTCCCGGTGCTGCTGGAAACACAGGACCAGGGGCTGGGTCTCCTGAGTAACGGCACCTGAACACAGAAGTCGTCCGTCAATCGCTTCCACCTGGACCGGTACTGGCTTGTTCCGAAGTGGCACCTGATGATGGGCGGCAAAAGCAGCGTCCATATAAGAGCGGGTTGCCCCTGAATCCACCAAAGCATGGGTGGGGATCCAGGGCCCACCTGGAGGGTATAAACGTACCGGAACCATAAGATGTTGCGAGTCCATTGATGCAGGCCCATTCTGCGCGGTTTGGGACCCCCGGCAGCTAGGGCCATCAGCTACTGGGGTTGGCGGCTTCCTGCGGCTGGCGTTTCTCAGGGCAAGACCGAGCGAAGTGTCCACTTCCGCCACAGTAAAGACAGAGATTTCCTCCCGACGCCGCGCCTTCTCTGCGGGGAAAGGCGTGGCCGCACTGCCCCGTGCTGCAGAGGCTCCTCCGTTATATCTGTTGTGACCGTGGGGCTGCCGGAAAAGCTGGTGCCGTGAACTGGAAGTGTCGGCGACCCCGGGCCTGACGACGATCCTCCAACCGGTCGTCTATTTGTAGACTCCGTTGAATGAGAGTGTCTAGCGTGGTGGGGCGTTCCATTGTGGCCAACTGGTCCAGTACCTCGTCCGAAAGCCCTTCGAGATACTGGTCCCGCAGTGCCGAATCATTCCAGGTCAAGTCCTGTGCCAACAGCCGAAACTCCGTGGTATATGCGGCCACCGTGGACTTGCCCTGTTTCAAACGCCGAATCGCCCGGTTGGCTTGACTCCCTTTCTGGGGGTTGCCGAACGCGGCCTCCAAACGATTGCAAAACCCCGTATAGTCTGCCAGCAAGGGGGAGTCTTGCCTGAGTAGCGGCAACGCCCACGGTGGCCGCATGGTCCTTTAACAAACTAATCAAAAAGTGCACCTTGGTGCGGTCGTCAGGAAAGTTCCGGGCTCGCCCCTGAATATACAGCTTGGCCTGGGCCAGGAACATGGGAAAGCTGGCCGGGGCTCCATCAAATTTCTCAGGCAAAGCCACTGGGTACTTGCCAGGAGCCGGGCGTCGGCCCCAGGAGCCGGTAGGGCTTCCAAGCGTTGCTGAAGTGCCACAACCGCGTCACTGAGCTGCTGCACGGTGTGAGTCAAGGCCTGGTTCTTCTGGGCCAAAGCCACCAGTGCAGCCGCCTGGTCAGCCATGGCCTCTGGCTCTTCCCGAACGCACCCCTACGAAGGGGGAGTGCGGGTTGGGCGGGAGCAAACTGTGCTGGTCCCGGGGTAAGGTACCTTGGGTGTAGCAGAGTCCACACGAAGAGGGGCAAGGTCCGAGGCAGAGAGCCGGGCGGGGAACAGGAATGCTGGAACAGGAGGCTGTGCAGGGAACAGGAACACCGGATGGTCGGGAACAGGAGGCCGAGCAGGGAACAGGAGTACCGGATAGTCAGGAACAGGAAGCCGAGCAGGGATCAGGAACACAGGAAGGTCCGGAGCCAACAACGACGTTGCTCCCGCAACCTGGGGCCGGGGCTGACTGGGCTTTTATCCTCTTCTAAGGCCAGGGGGCGGTCCTGGTCCCCAGGAGCCCCGCCTCCTCTGGCCTTAAGGCGAGCACTCCTCCTGGGGGCAACCAGTTCCCTTCGCCTCTCTGCCCTAAGCCTCTGCAGATCAGGAGAGGCCGAAGGGTTACTGGGCCCTGGAGGAGGCTCACCTGTGGCCACTGAGTCATCAAGCCCCTCTGGGGCCCGAAGGGCTTCACCTGGGGCCAGCTCCTGATGCACTGCCACAGGTGCAGGCTCTTCAGCATCAAGGCCTTGCCCCAGTTCAGCCGGCCCTGGAGGCGGGGACTCCTGTGCAGGCCGGGATTCCTCTGTTTCATCCTCCGAATCGGAATCCCAGGCCATCACACCGCCGGGTCGCCGCCCACTGTGGAGGGGGGGTGCCAGGCGTGCGGTTAGGGGCGCAATCCACGGGTTAGTGGCCGCAAATTACTTGCCTTGCCCCGGGTGCTGACAACCCACGCTATGCCGCTGACGCTCCTTCAGGTATACTGGACCGAGGCCGTTTAGGGCTTTAAAGGTCAGCACCAACACTTTGAATTGTGCTCGGAAACGTACTGGGAGCCAATGTAGGTCTTTCAAGACCGGTGTTATATGGTCTCGGCGGCCGCCCCCAGTCACCAGTCTAGCTGCCACATTCTGGATTAGTTCTGGTTTCCGAGTCACCTTCAAAGGTAGCCCCACGTAGAGTGCACTGCAGTAGTCCAAGCGGGAGATAACCAGAGCAATGCACCACTCTGGCGAGACAGTCTGCAGGCAGATAGGGTCTCAGCCTACGTACCAGATGGAGCTGGTAAACAGCTGCCCTGGACACAGATTTGACCTGTGCCTCCATGGGCAGCTGTGAGTCCAAAATGACTCCCAGGCTGTGCACCTGGTCCTTCAGGGGCACAGTTACCCATTCAGGACCAGGGAATCCTCCACACCTGCCCGCCTCCTGTCCCCCAAAAACAGTACTTCTGTCTTGTCAGGATTCAACCTCAATCTGTTAGCCGCCATCCATCCTCCAACCGCCTCCAGACACTCACACAGGACCTTCACCGCCTTCACTGGTTCTGATTTAAAAGAGAGGTAGAACTAGGTATCATCCACATACTGATGCATTGACATACTTCCTGGCTGGGTATGCAAGTCTCTCTGTCTGTACATCTGCCTGTTGCATGTACACCGTATTTTTATTATTTATTGAATTTATATACCGCCCTATACCCAAGGATCTAAGAGTGGTTTACAGAATACCAAATAAGAGTGGTTCGCAGTTCCAATTAAATAGAGCTTGGCAGTGTAGAACTTAAAATCTGGGCCAAGAGTGAAGAGGGGAAGTGTATGGGCTGGTGCATAAAGTGTGTTTGGTGTGCTGATGTTCCCAAAGGAGAAGAGAACTGGAGAGCAAGGCCAAAACTTAAGTCTCTGAGGTGACTGACATTAATGCAGCCTTGGTAGGAGGCCATGTGTTAAACACCAGTTAAGAACTGAGGAGAAACCTGTCAACACGGAGGATACAGGAGGAAATGTCAGATAGGCAGCATGTGAGCTGATCCCTCTGAACTCCCTGGAGACTGATGGTTAATTGACAGGTATAGCTCAGAGATCCCAGTGTTGTGGAAAGCTGCACCACCTGGGCTTTTATATCTTTTATTCTGGAGTTGTAAATTAATGCCATGAGACACAAGGTCAGCTTTGGACTTTAGAGGAGGCCACAGCTGATTGCCTTGGATTTTTGAAGGCCATGCATTGGACTGTGCTTGCTGGTTCTTTATATATATAATCTGAGTAGAATTTTTATTCTTTCTTTTTTTAAAAAAAAACTTTGACTTTAAATGAAACTGGGTGTTAATCCAAAGTGGAGATGAGGCCTTGTGCTGTGATCCATCTTTACTTGATGTAAATCCTGCTGTTTCCTGTGAAACACATTTAGGACGGAGGATGGCTTGAACAGCAGGGTCCGTTTTCATTTTGCCTTTCTTTGCTCTCATCTTGCCCTCTCAGTGATTTTCAAGCTCAGCACCTCAAGGGAAACCTTTCATGGAAGACATTGCCTGTGTTGGAATCCACGCATGCTTTCCACAGAACCTCGGTGCATCACAAAGGATTCTGGGGAAATGTCTAAAGCAAGGGTCAGCAGTCCGAGGGCCACATTCCCTTCTGTGCAACCCCCAGGTGCCACATGCCAGGGATGGGGGGGGGGGGTCCAGAGGCAAAAGCGGTCAGAGCAAAAAGTGCAAATGTTACCTTTGCAGGTATGTTTGTTCACACACTTGCAAGACCCCCTCTGTCCTCCATCCAGCCAAGCAAGTAGCATTTCAGCCAAGCAAGAACTCTCAATGAGGATGGGATGCAGGGCCGGTGAAGGATGTGGCTTGAGGGCCAGATGGAGAGGCATGGAGGGCTGCATTTGGGCCCTGGGCCTAAGAGCCCCCATTCTATAGTCTGCACTTAGTTTGTACGGGGGGCACCTGTGTTGGGCCTCACCAACATGCTGTACAACTGAAAGCATAGCTTGTCACTCCACTAACACTTCTCTACAGTTGTGCGTTGCAGAGGGAAGGTTGGTGGGAGGGGCAAACTACCTTTCAATGAGATTTGTCATTAATGACCTTCTCATTAACGAGCCTCTGCTTAGCTTCAGAGGAATCCCAAGATTCTTGCAAACGAGAGAAGGAGAGAGCATTAAGGCTCCCTTCTTCTCAAGTACTGGTTGCTTTTTGTTCTTGAAGATTCCTGCCATGTGTGCTGCTCAGTAGTGCAGAATGTTTGCCGTGTGGGGAACTGGAAAAATAAAGTGGGTGGATGAAACAGCAGTGCGAGAGTCATCTTCCTCTGATACACACTATGGCATGTTTGCTTCCCGTAGTGCCTGGCACAAAGCAAGAGATTTGCACAAAGGAAGTCTGATGAGGAGCCAGGAGGCAGGTTCTTTCCCCTCCTCCTTCCTCTTCCCTCCTAGCAGCATTTGGAGTGAAAAGGTGGCTTGAACAGCAAAAACCCATCTGTAAGAAGAGATTGGGACATCAGGCAAGAGTTAAGTGGACAGCACGGATGTTAGCTGAGTTGACAAAAGGCCAGCTTGTAGATGGCAGCCTGACCTTTAAAAAAATAATATGTCCATGAGATGAAGATACCACAGAAGTAGACTCAGAGAGGCAGGACTGACAATATGACAACTGGGTGATTTTCACACTCTGGATTTGATGGTCTTATGGGGTGATGTGTAGCCCTGATGAACTAGGGGTGGGGTCAGCCATTCCAGCACTGGGAGAGCTGGGAAGCTGGGCTCCCTCCATCAGCCATCTTACTTCATAGGGGAGAGTTTAAGTTATGAAGATGAAGCAGAGGGCATTGAGGTTTGATGCTTCCTCTTTTTGTCAGGGTTCCAAGAGGGTTTCCCTCTTACATCAGGGTTGGGGAATGGTACTACAACTCCCCTCTTCCCTGGCCACAATACATGCTGGTGGGAGTCCACTGACCATCTAGAGGGCCACAGGTTCACCATCCCACATAGAGGTCCAAGCCTTGACACATCCAGTTAGAATGACCAGGTGGCAGGAGAGAAACCCTCTCTGTCTGAGACCTTGGAGAGAGGCTGCCGGTCAGAGCGAGTGATACTGAGCCAGATGGGAGCTGCCTTATACCGAGAAAGGCCACTGGTTCACCCAGCTCAGTACTGTCTCCACTGACTGACTGTGGCTCCCCAGGGAAGTCTCTACCATCACTACCTGGAGATGTCACAATTTGAAGCTGGGAGATCTAGCAGGGAGCTGCAGAGATGGTTTTAGCTGCTGGCCATGTTTCATTAAGACTCACTGACCATTTTCCTGGCATCCTCACAAACAAACACTGAACAACTTTCTTTTCTTTTTTAAAGAAAAGATGCAGGATTTACTGGTGCTACCTTCAGCCTTTTCTCCTGGCAGGCATGAGGTCTAGAAACCTACCCAGTATACCTGCCAGGCTCCTTCTAGTTTACCTTTTAACACCAGGCCATTCTTGCATTGCAGAGCCATCCTGCAACCTTTCCTTAGGCCTTCACATCCCTCCAGTTTGCCTTTCCATGTTCGGAGCATCAGGGGCCTCCTTGTTTACCTTCTCCTGCGGTGCCTCTTTTGCAGCTGATGCCAGCAGCTGACAGGTGAAAAGCAAGGTTAAGTTGAATAGATGAGGCTGATTTATTAAAGTAGCAGGCACACTTGCACTGAATGCTTAGCTCTTCTGTAGTTTGAACTCTCTCTCTTTGTGTTGCAAAATTCTAATACTGGCACCTTGCACTTCTATAAAGCATTTATTTTTCATGTTGATCACACAAAGTATTCTACAAGTTAACATTTAATTACAGTCATACCTTGGAATTCGAACTGAATCCATTCCAGAAGTCGGCTCGATTTCCAAAACGTTCAAAAACCAAATTGCGGCTTCTGATTGGCTGCAGGAAGATCCTGCAGCCAATCAGAAGCTGTGGAAGCCCCACTGGACGTTCGGGTTCCAAAAGAATGTTCGCAAACCAAAACAATCACTTCCGAGTTTGTGTCGTTTGGGAGCCAAAACGTCCGAGTTCCAGGGCTTTTGGGATCCACGGTATGAGTGTATTAAATGCAACAAAAGCATTTATTTGCTGTATTTGGGGGTGTAATCTCTCTCTCTCTCTCTCTCTCTCTCTCTCTCTCTCTCTTAAAAGATGTAGGGACTAGTCCTGCCTTTGCCATCTCAACTGTTTCCAAGCTTCATGCAAAGTGAGAGCAAGAAGTGAGAGCTGCAACAAGTTGTTGCAGTGTGAAGTGCCTCCATTCTGCACCCTTTCACAGTTTCCTCCCCTGCCCCAAGTCAGTTATTCTGTGGCCACTGAGCATGCTTGATTCTCATTGGACTGTTTTTAGGGTTCCACTCACATCCCCTCCCCCTTGACTCGTGTGAGGGTGATGCCTTTTGGGCTACATAAGCAATGGCACTCATAACCTAAACAGAGGAAACATCTAGGGCCTGCAACAAATTGTTGCAGTGCGGAGTGTTTCTGTTCGCTGTCCTCCTCAGCCCTGACTGGGCTGTTCCAGAAGTGGGTGTAGGGATGCATCCAAAATCTCATCCAAATTTCTCCCTGGACTTTGTGGCATTCTGATTTACCTGGTTTTGTTTCCAAAGTGGAACTCAATACATATAAGTGCATTCTCCCCTTCTGCATTTGTACAGAACACTGGTGCATCTGCACTTTTAGCTCTTTCCTTCTTATCTCCTCCCTCTGTGCTAACAAACAAGACCATCTTGATGTATAGATACGGTTGCATCAAGATGATTTGTGTGTGTGTGGACCAATGCACAAAAGCTCATATGCACCTGAATCTTGATGCAGTTGTAAATACAATCACATCAACATTGCTTTAAAAGAAAAACAAATGAAACAGTATTCAATCAATGCAGATGTGCACAGGTCATAATAACACAAGGAGGTGGGAGATGGAAATGAACTTCAGGAGCTCAAAGCAGTGCCACCATTATACAATTCTGGAATAAATGTAATGCTTAGGAATGGAGGTAGCTGCCTCATACTAGTCACGACCAGCGGTCCATCTAGCTTGGTTCTGTCCATTCTGACTGGGAGCAACTCTCCCTGAAGACACCAGAGATTGTGGCCCCATCCATACCATACGGTTAAAGTGCCATGATGCCACTCATAGCTTCCCACAAAGACTCCTGGGAGCTGTAGTCGATCAAGGGTGCCGAGAGTTGTTGGGGTGCTCCTTATTGCCCTCCCCTTCCCAGAGTTCCTTACGTAGAAGGGTTGATAAATTCCCATTCTGGGAATAGTAGCTTTGATGCCTGCATGGCAGGCAGTTGGAGAGCTTGTCCATTATTTTTATTGCAACCTGTTTTCCAGTAAGCAGGTGACAAGCCAGCTTCACCTTTGCAAAACTTTTGTGTCACTTCCAACAATTCTGTGATCCTATTATTGTTGCCCAGATGATATTAGCTTAAGGCAAAGAGCTGCCACAATCTATGAACTGTGGCAATTTATGATATATCTGAAAGAAACCAAGGGGGTGGGGTGAGGTCCAACATCATAGGGGAAAACATAGATATTCCAGAGCCTAGAAAGGCCTGAACCAAAGCAAAGGATTTGTAGCGGAGTGTAGTTTTGTTAATTGAGTTACCAATGCCAAGATTTATGTGCCATCAACAAGCTTTTTCCTGAATCTTCCCTGTTAATTAGGTACCTCTCAATGTCTCTGCTTTTCTATATTTCGTTTCTCTCTGTCCTGTAATGTATATAGGTCTGAGTTGCAACAATATTCTCGTTTTTCCAGATTCTGATATTTTCATTGTTTCAAGCATTGGCTCATCTGCATTGTACAGCTCAGTTGAAGCTCTCTCACTTTTTCTAACAACACAACATTAAAAATGATAACAGTTTAAATTTCCCCATGAATCCCACAACACTATTTAAGCAAACTGAAAATCCCAAATTATAGGTTTTGGATCAGGTGTGGCCCATGACTAATAAGGATATGAGCAAAATAGGCCACTTTCCGATATAATAGTGACAAGAATATCTCACACATTTCACCTTTTTAAAAAGTGTTGTTTTCTTCCCATATGAATTGTAATAAATGTATCATCTGATGGCTTTTAATGTTTTATATTAAGCAACAGCTATTTTTCTTCCCCACCTCCGGAACTGTCAAAGGGAGGCTGGAGGAGTTCAGGTGATCGCCATGCCCTCCTGGCTAGGATTGCACAAGGCGTTTTGAGTCCTGAAGCAGAAAATCACAACTGCAGCCCACTGGGCTGGCCCAAGACATTTTGGACTCTCAAAGCATTTTTTTTTTAAATCAAGGCTTCTTGCACTTTGCTTTGCTCTGCTCCACTCCCCCTTCCTTCCCGCCCAGGGTAGCCCTGCCCTCTGCCTGCAGCTCAAAGCCAGCATGTCATCCAGCGCAGGACCTCATGGCCACAGCCTCTCCTCCTCCTTGCCCGCTCTCCAGCAGCTGCTATGAGCTGCCCAAGGGAGGAGGGTGGCAGCAGCAGCCCTGGAAAGGCAACAGGACAAGCAGTGGCTCCTCCTCCTCCCTGAGCTGGGTGGTGGAAAGGGGAAACAGGAAATTATGGGATCAAATCAGACGCTGGGATGGCTTTTGTAATTCTAAGACCGCCCCTGGAAAATTGGGACATTTGGAAGTTATGAACCTCTAGATATAGAAATCAGAATTTTTGGGCTAGATGTTGCTAGATGACGACGCCCATGATTTCTGAGCATTGGCCATGCTGCCAGAGGCTGATGGGAATTGAAGTCCAAAAACACCAGGAAGGGGCAGAGGTTTCTCATCCCAGATGTGCAAAACCTTCTCAGTTATTTCCTCAGATTTTTTTTCCTTGCTGAAAATTGTCACTGCACGTTCTGGGCAATTATCTGGAAAAAGAGGGCATGCAATTTTCACAAGACAAGGTTCCCTGAACTGCTGTTTTGCAGTTTGGATTGTTACCCAGGAGCCGCCACTGAGGGCTTGATGGCACATGGCTCCCTCCCTGGGAGACAGACTCTGTTTCCACCTTTCAGTTTGGCTAGATAGTGGTGGATCTATTTTATTTTACTTCCATCATTTATTTCTTTTTAAGTCATCTTCCACCTCAAGGCAGCTAATACATCAGCAATAAAAATGGTAGAATCCAGAGCAATCTCCTCCAAACACCATTACACACTAAGGATAATAACATCTCAATTTATAACAGATTTAACAATCCCAACAGCACAAGATAAACTGACAACTAAGCCAGCAAATTAAATACCCAATTAATTAACTCAATCTTAATTCAGGGTTGGAAAACCTACAGCCTTCCAGGTGTTGTTGGACTCCAACTTCCATCAGCCCACGTCCCAGATGATGGGAATTGGAGTCCAGCAACATCTGGAGGCTCAGATGCTCCCCATCCCTATCAGAGGCATCCCAATGGCAATATCTGCAGCTGCAAGAGCTTCTATAGCTTCTGAGATATAATAATAATAATAATAATAATAATAATAATAATAATAATAATTTATTATTTGTACCCCGCCCATCTGGCTGGGTTTCCCCAGCCACTCTGGGCGGCTTCCATAGAAACCAAAAATACACTAAAATATCACACATTAAAAACTTCCCTGAACAGGGCTGCCTTAAGATGTCTTCTGAATGTCAGGTAGTTATTTATCGCTTTGACATCTGATGGGAGGGCGTTCCACAGGGTGGGCGCCACTACCGAGCAGGCCCTCTGCCTGGTTCCCTGTAGCTTTGCTTCTCGCAATGAGGGAACCACCAGAAGGCCCTCGGCGCTGGACCTCAGCGTCCGGGCAGAACGATGGGGGTGGAGACGCTCCTTCAGGTATACTGGGCCGAGGCCATTTAGGGCTTTAAAGGTCAACACCAGCACTTTGAATTGTGCTCGGAAACGTACTGGGAGCCAATGTAGGTCTTTCAAGACTGGTGTTATGTGGTCTCGGCGGTCTAGCTGCCGCATTCTGGATTAGTTGTAGTTTCCGAGTCACCTTCAAAGGTAGCCCCACGTAGAGCGCATTGCAGTAGTCCAAGCGGGAGATAACTAGAGCATGCACCACTCTGGCGAGACAGTCTGCGGGCAGGTAGAGTCTCAGCCTGCGTACCAGGTGGAGTTGGTAGACAGCTGCCCTGGATACAGAATTCACCTGCGCCTCCATGGACAGCTGTGAGTCCAAAATGACTCCTAGGCTGTGCACCTGGTCCTTCAGGGGCACAGTTACCCGATTCAGGACCAGGGAGTCCCCCACACCTGCCCGCCTCTTGTCCCCCAAAAACAGTACTTCTGTCTTGTCAGGATTCAACTTCAATCCATTAGCCGCCATCCATCCTCCAACCGCCTCCAGGCACTCACACAGGACCTTCACCGCCTTCACTGGTTCTGATTTGAAAGAGAAGTAGAGCTGGGTATCATCTGCATATTGATGGACACCCAGTCCAAACCCCCTGATGATCTCTCCCAGCGGCTTCATATAGATGTTAAAAAGCATGGGGGAGAGGACAGAACCCTGGGGCACCCCACAAGTGAGGGCCCAGGGGTCTGAATACTCATCCCCCACCACCACTTTCTGAACACGGCCCAGGAGGAAGGAGCGAAACCACTGTATAACAGTGCCCCCAGCTCCCAGCCCCTCTAGACGGTCCAGAAGGATGTTATGGTCGATTGTATCAAAGGCCGCTGAGATAACCAGCAGAACTAGGAAACAACTCTCACCTTTGTCCCTAGCTCGCCGGAGATCATCAACCAGCGCAACCAAGGCAGTTTCAGTCCCATGATGAGACCTGAATCCCGATTGGAAGGGATCCAAATGGTCCGCATCCTCCAGGCGTGCTTGCAGTTCTTCAGCAACCACCCCTTCAACCACCTTGCCCAAGAATGGAAGATTTAAGATTGGGTGATGGTTGGCCATAGTGGCTGGGTCTAAAGATGTTTTTTTAAGAAGCAGTTTAATGACCGCCTCTTTCAACGGATCTGGGAATGTTCCCTCACAGAGGGAAGAATTCACCACCCCGCAGAGCCCATCGCCCAGCCCTTCCCGGCTTGCTTTTATTAGCCAGGATGGGCAAGGATCAAGGAGACAGGTGGTTGGTTTCACGTGTCCAAGCAGCCTGTCCACATCCTCGGGGGTAACGGATTGAAATTGATTCCATGCAACTTGACCAGACAGAGCTCTAGCACTCTCCCGCCCCAGCCCTGCTCCCACGGTGGTGTCTAGCTCCTTCCGAATATGAGTGATTTTATCTGCAAAAAACTTTGCAAAATCGTTGCAGGAGATCTTGGGGTCTTTACAAGGCCCTGGTGGTAAAGGTGGTTCCGTTAAATTGCGAACCACCTGAAAGAGTCTCCTGCTACTATTTTCTGCAGATGCAATAGAGGCGGTGAAGAAAGTCTTCTTCGCCGTCGCTATCGCCACTTGGTAGGCTCGACGTTGAGCTCTAACCTGTGTCCAGTCAGATTCGGAGTGAGTTTTCTGTCACCGACGCTCTAGCCGTCTCAGCGATTGTTTCATCACCCTCAGCTCCGAAGAAAACCACGGGGCTGTCCGGGCTCCATGCAATCGGAGAGGGCGCTTTGGAGCCAGACAGTCGATAGCCCTGGTTAACTCCGCATTCCAGCGGGCCACCACGGAATCAGCTGAAAGGCCATCAACATGGGATAAAGCATCCCCTACCACTCTCTGGAAACCATTTGGATCCATTAAGTGGTGGGGGCGGACCATCCAAATTGGTCCCACCTCCCTGCAGAGGGGAAGGGTCGCGGAGAAGTCCAGTTGCACCAGGAAGTGATCTGACCATGGCACTTCTTTTGTTTCACTTTTACTTAGTGTCAGATCACCCACGTCACTAGAGGTGAACACCAGGTCCAAGGCATGTCCGCGGCTATGACTTGGGCCAAACTTATTCAGGGACAGCCCCATGGAGGCCATGCTTTCCACGAAGCCCCGAGCAGCCCCTTGTAAGGTCGTGTCGGCATGGATGTTAAAATCCCCTAGGACAACCAAACTAGGTGTCTCCAGGAGAAAATCTGCCACGACCTGAAGCAGCTCAGACAGGGAATCCTTGGTGCAGTAGGGAGGTTGGTACACCAATAGGAATCCTGTACTGCCCCTATTGCCCAACTTCCAGAACATGCACTCAGAAAACTGGATCTTCCCAGTAGGACGCCTGGTGCAAGCTAGTGACTTCCTAAAAATCACTGCAACCCCCCCTCCCCGCCCACATGACCTGGGTTGCTGTGCGTAAGAGAAACCTGGTGGGCAAGCAGCGGCAGAGACAGGCCCATCTGCTTCATCCAACCAGGTCTCTGTCACACATGCCAGGTCCAATCCTCCATCCACAATCAGGTCGTGGATGGCAGTGGTTTTATTCATCATTGACCTGGCATTACACAGCAACACCTTCAGGTCATGTGGGTTTCCCCTGTTGATTCCAGTATCCATCAGGTCAAGGCCAGACCCGGAGGCAGGGATAGTCTTCAAACAACGACTAAACCTGCCTCCTCGGTAATGACATGGTCTGGTCTTAGTGTAACTCCGCCTCCTGCCCATGATCACCGAGATCGGATGTCCCAGTGCTCCCCCCCGTGGAACTTGTCCCAGCCATCGTGTTGGCTGGGGCCCCACTCCCAGGCAGCCCTGATCCCGCCCCTTAAAAACAAAACACAAACTATACAGAACCAATAAAACAACAACAAAAAAGGAACAGAACAATTATACTAAAATTAATCCCCAACCAAATATCCATCCCACCCACCCACCCCCAACAAAGGAAAAAAAGAAATAAAAATTTAAATTGCCACCGACTGCTTGAGGACATTTTAAAGCACATTAACCACCTGGAACAGGGAAGCAATGGCAAAACACTTCCCACACTTCCCCAAAAGTTTGTTCCAAATAAGGGCCTGGGCCACGCCCCCTGGGCCAGTTGGAAAAGGCCCTGGAAGGGAGCAGGCCCTGCAGTCCTCACCCAGCTGATGGTAGAAGATTTGGTCCAGTCCTTTGAAATTAAAAAGTCCATGATCCTTTTTTAAGAGATATTTGTTATCAATACATCAATTTGATGTGCTGATTTTAATTAATGAGTGGAAGAAAGAACTGGATATTACAGTAATAATAATACTAATAATACTAATAATACTAATAATTTTTATTTATATCCCGCCCTCCCCAACCAGAACCGAGCTCAGGGCGGCTAACATAAAAAAATAAAATTAAGACATAAAATTCAGCAGTCGACTGAAATACAACTTAAAATCAGATTAAAATCAAAATAAGATCAGATGGCTACCTGCAAATTGTAACTGTAACTATAGGGGTTGGGAACCTTAATTACTCACCAGGCGCAGCTATTTGTATAAGCCGGTGAGCAGAGTTAGAGAGGCCACTTATATGCAGGGTCTTGTAAAAGAACAGCTCCATCTTGCAGGCCCTGCGGAAAGATGTCAAGTCCCACAGGGACTCTCTCTTGCGACACAGCGTTCCACCAGATCGGGGCCAGGGCCGAAAAGGCCCTGGCCCTGGTCGAGGCCAGCCTAATCTCCTTGAGATCCGGGACCTCCACAACGTTATTGTTTGAGGACCATAAAGTCCTCCGTGGGGCATACCAGGAGAAGGAGTCCCGTGGGTACTAGGGTTCCAGGTCGACAGTGGGGAAGTGTCTTAGCTTCTGTAGTAAAGGTGCCTGTGGATCTTAAAATACAACTTACACAACAGAAAACAATATTTAGAATTTATTGGACTCTGTTATGTTTATTTAGAAAAGGATTGTCTAAGACAGCGTGCTATGGAGATGTAATAAAGATAACGCTTCTTTGGAACATGTGTTTTTACAATGTCCTATGCTTGCTAAGTTTTGGGAGAAAATATTGGATTCAGAAACGTGACTGAGTAGAAAAACTTAGCATTTTCAGAGGAAATTCTTATTTTGAATTACATACCTACTATATGGAATTTGACAACTGGACAACATAAATGGAGTCTTTGTACCCTTTCTGTTGCCAAATATATGGCCCCCTTCAGTCAATGGACTAAAGAGATGACAACACGTGCAACTGATGAACGGATTGCTTACAGGCATAGACTTCGTATGGACAAGTATAATAATATTTAAAGTGTGTTTATAAAAAATATTGTCAACTATAAATAACTGTATGTGTATTTGGATAATAATATTGTAATAATAATATTGGAAAATATTAATATTTAATAACAACAACAACAGCAATACTGCAGTGTGGCACGGTGGCTGCTGTGCGTCAGGGGTTGGGACTCTGGGGAGCTTGCGGGTGGCACAGCGGTTCCTGGTTGATTTGGGTGTTGCAGGAGGGTGGAGCTCAACAACTTTACTCCACCCCCGGTGCTGGCAGGGGTTGCTACTTCACAGCTAAAATTCAGCCCAGACCAGATGGAAGTGGTTCTAGCTGGGGGGTCAGTGGGTCAGCTAGTAGGGATTGGGATTGGAGCTGGCCTTGCCTCTGGACCTGCTCTCACTCTGGGGTATCCAGGCAGAGGCATAGGAACGTCAGGTGGTACCCGGTGCGGAAAATTTCTTGTCACCCCCCCATTGATTTTTTTATTATTTTTGCCTGCAAAAATGGTTTTACGTTATTTCATCTTTTCTTACAAAGGAATGTTGATTCTGGGCCTCTGTTAACAAGTAGGCAACTATGGACAGATACTTAAATCTACAGGATGGATTGTGTTTTGGCTTTTGTTATTTTATTTATATTTATTGTTTATTTATTTAATAATTTTTTTAAAAAAAACACCTGCAAAGTGGTTTACCAAAACAAAAACAAAAAACCACCACACCAGTAAAAGCAAGAAAAATCGGCTGCGTGCAGGGGGCAGGAGGGGGCGAAGGCAAGGCAAGGCCTAATCTACTCGGCCTCGTCTCATTTTCTTCACCTAGGCCGACTTTCCACAACCTGGAAGCCAAGCGGAGGGTGGGGCAGTAGGGCAATTCATAAAAAACTTTTTTCTTTTAAAATGCCTGCTCCAAAGGTCTTATCTTACTACACTAGGCATTATATAGCTATATAATTTCATGCATATCAGTTAATATCTTGACCCTGCTTCACTGAATTGAAATTTCAGCCTTCACGACATAGGGAAACGGCCAAGTAAACAGCTATTTTCATGGAGGAGGGTCAAGATATTAACTGATATGCATGAAATTTCATATATTGCTATATAATCCCTAGTGTAGTAAGATAAGACCTTCGGAGCAGGCATTTTTTTAAAAAAGTTTTTTATGGACCGCCCCATTAGGGCAGTAATTGTTCCTTGATAATTTGTCACCCCCCTCCATGGTAGCCCCCGGGACGGCCCCACCCCCCTTTCCTAGGCCCCTGTATCCAGGTGACAGCTGGGGCCCTGTGTGCCCATTACCAGCCTCTTCTGGAAATGCACAGCTCTGATTGATATCGTTCCTGCTGGTGGTAGTGGGATCAGGCTACTTGAGATCAGATGGCCCATGAAGATGGTCTGGGAACAAGTGCTGAGCCAAGCCTATCTTTCTCTTTTATTTGGTAATCACTTGAGGGGCTGGTGAGTTTGCACTGAGAGCATGAACAAAATTTGAAGATTTGTTATTTCTTATTTTCAAGGGTGAGGAAGGGAGGAAAACTGCACAGCTTTCTGTTCTGCCTCTCAGCTGCTGAAGGACAAAGAAAGAGTGGGCCACGGGTTCTTTCCAAGATTTCAATGCTTAGATTTCTGCAGCACATATGCCCTTTGGGAATGGGGATTGGTAATAGTGGATTGGATCCTTCCAAGTATTTGGTCTCTGTATTCGGTACTGGCCAAAGTCAGCCCAGTACCAAAGAGGCAGCCAGTGTGGATCTTTAAGAATAGGGGCCACATCATCCCACCTTGGGCTGCCTGTCAACAGCAAGTGAATAGAGCAGCTGAAAAAAGGTCGCTGGGGAGGTGGGGATAATGGGAAAGACATCTGTCACCACACATTAAAAGAAAAAAAGAATAGAAAACATAGGTCTAGATAGGAATGCAGAAGAAATTGGATTCATTTTTCATTTAAAGATGCACCTACCAAATTCACACTTTCCAAAACAATCTGTAACCCAAAATGCAGCCATCTTTGGAAAGGTCCGCTTTTCTGAACCTTGCAATGCAGTACTCTAGAGAAGTAACACACACAAAATGCATTTTTAGGGCAAAGTGTGCCTGAAAATGCAGATGTTGGTGAAAAATATCATACAAAAATGCATTATATGGGGAGGAGGAATTGCTTTGCAGCAATCTGCACGTTTGACAAAATTGCATACAAATATTTGTATACAGTGGTGCCCCGCAAGACGAACGCCTCGCAAGACGAAAAACTCGCAAGACGAAAGGTTTTTTCGTTTTCGAGTTGCTTCGCAAGACGAATGTCCCTATGGGCTTGCTTCGCAAGACGAAACGTCTTGCCAGTTTGTTTCCTTTTCGTAAAACCGTTAAAACCCAGGGTGCATTGCTGGAAGAGGTGCAGTTGCGACTTGACCTCGAGGAGCAACACATTGCACGCGGTGTGGTGGCCTTTCTGAGCTTTTTAAAGAGTTTGCTGGATTTTTGAAGCTTTTCCAAAACTTCTTCTACAGCTGTTTGGTAAGTTGAACTTTTAAAACTTTTTTGGGGTTTTTGGGATTTTGGGTTGGGGTGTTTAGAATTCAAGGACTTGGTGTTGGGGAGAGGTTTGCAAGAATCTGGGAGCTTGTGTGGTTTTTTTCTGCATTTTTATGATTTTCTGTGACCATTGGGCCATGTTTATTTTTTTTTTTTAAAAAAATCTGGCTTTGAATTTTGAATTTCTGTGTGCTGGGTGGATGGGGGAACAGCTGGGGAGGTGTTTGCAAGAATCTGGGAGCTTGTGTGCTTTTTTTTGAATTTTTATGATTTTTTTGTGACCATTGGGCCATGTTGTTGTTTTTCAAAAAGTTTCTGGGTTTTTAATTTCTGTGTGCTGGGTGGATGGGGGAACAGCTGGGGAGGGGTTTGCAAGAATCTGGGAGCTTGTGTGGTTTTTTTTGAATTTTTATGATTTTTTTGTGACCAGTGGGCCATGTTGTTGTTTTTTGAAAAAAGTTTCTGGGTTTTAAATTTCTGTGTGCTGGGTGGATGGGGGAACAGCTGGGGAGGGGTTTGCAAGAATCTGGGAGCTTGTGTGCTTTTTTGAATTTTTATGATTTTTGTGACCATTGGGCCATGTTGTTTTTTTGAAAAAGTTTCTAGGTTTTAAATTTCTGTGTGCTGGGTGGATGGGGAACAGCTGGGGAGGTGTTTGCAAGAATCTGGGAGCTTGTGTGGTTTTTTTTGAATTTTTATGATTTTTGTGACCATTGGGCCATGTTGTTGTTTTTTGAAAAAGTTTCTGGGTTTTGAATTTCTGTGTGCTGGGTGGCTGGGGAACAGTTGAGGAGGGGTTTGCAGGAATCTGGGAGCTTGTGTGCTTTTTGAATTTTTATGGTTTTCTGTAACCATTGGGCCATGTTGTTTTTTTTTGAAAAAGTTTCTGGGTTTTGAATTTCTGTGTGCTGGGTGGCTGGGGGAACAGTTGAGGAGGGGTTTGCAACAGTTGGGGAGGGATTTGCAACAGTTGGGGAGGGGCTGGGGGAACAGTTGAGGTTTTTGAAGACTTTGGTGATTTTTAAAGCTTTCCCAAAATTTCTTTTGCAGCCATTTGAGGATTTTGAAGACTTTGGTGATTTGCAGCCATTTCGTAAGTTAAACTTTTAAAACTTTTTTTGGGGTCTTTGGATTTTGGGTTGGGTGTTTGGAATTCAAGGACTTGGTTGTGGGTTTGAATTGCTGATTTTTTTTTTCTTTTTCTGAGTTTTACAAAGGTAACAGCTGTGCTGCCATGGGACCCAAGAAGACTGCTGCTGCTGCGGAGGCCGGCGAGAGGAAGAAGGAGAAGGTGACGCTGGAGATGAAGAAGGAGATCATCCGGAAGCACGACGGTGGAATGCGTGTGACGGACCTCGCCAGGGAGTACGGCAGGAACCCATCGACCATCGGGACCATCCTGAAGATGAGGGAGAAGATCCTTGCGACTGATGCAGCCAAGGGAGTCACCAGGATCGTGAAGAACCGCCCAGCTGTTCTGGAGGAGGTCGAGAAGTTGCTCCTCATCTGGATAGAAGAGAAGCAGCGTGCAGGGGACACAGTGACTGAGGCCGTGATTTGTGAGAAGGCCAAGGCCTTGCACGCAGACCTCATCCGGGAACAGCCAGGAACCTCGGCCGAGCCAGAAGTCTTCAAGGCAAGCAGAGGCTGGTTTGACCGGTTCAAGGCAAGATCCGGAATCCACAGCGTGGTCAGGCATGGAGAGGCTGCCAGTTCTGATGTTCCTGCGGCTGAAGACTTTGCCTTGGAGTTCCTGGAGGTTGTGAAGACGGAGGGCTACGTTCCACAGCAGGTCTTCAACTGCGACGAGACCGGGCTGTTTTGGAAGAGGATGCCCAAAGGACTTTCATCACTCAGGAGGAGGCCAAGTTGCCTGGCCACAAGCCCATGAAGGACCATCTGACCCTGCTCTTCTGTGCCAACGCAAGCGGCGACCTGAAGATCAAGCCCCTGCTGGTGTACCACTCGGAGAACCCACGGGCCTTCAAGAAACACAAGGTCGACAAGGAGCGGCTGAGTGTCATGTGGCGATCCAACAGCAAGGCTTGGGTCACACGTGTGCTGTTTGTGGACTGGGTCAATCTTGCCTTTGGCCCTGCTGTCAAACAGTACCTGCTGGACAATGACCTGCCGCTGAAGGCTTTGCTTCTGATGGACAATGCTCCTGCTCATCCTAAAGGCCTTGAGGTGGACTTGTTGGAGGAGTTCAGCTTCATCAACATCATGTTCCTGCCGCCTAACACCACGCCACTGCTCCAGCCGATGGATCAGCAGGTCATCGCCAATTTCAAGAAACTCTACACCAAGGAGCTTTTCAGGCGATGCTTCGAGGTGACTGATTGCACCACCATCACCCTGCGGGAATTCTGGAAGGACCACTTCGACATCGTCACCTGCTTGAAGATGATCACCACGGCCTGGAAGGGGATCAGCCAGAGGAATTTGAATTGCGCTTGGCGCAGCCTGTGGCCGGACTGTGTGGCACCAAGTGACTCTGATGCACCAGAGTCGACAGTGGTGCAGGACATTGTTTCCTTAGGGAGGACCTTGGGCCTGGAGGTCACAGAGGAGGACGTTTGCGAGCTGGTGGAGGAGCACGACCACGAGCTGACCACCCAGGAGCTGGTTGCACTGCAGTCAGAGGTTGCGCAGGAGCAGGCCTCGCTGGAAGAGGAGGAAGCAACTGAGGAACGGCTGTCCTCCAAAGAACTGAGGGACATTTGCCAGAAGTGGAATGAGGTGCAGGCTTTTGCAGAGCGGCACCACCCTGACAAGCACGTGGCACATGACCAAGCGAACATTTTTGATACGACGGTCATGTCGCCTCTCAGGGAGCTGCTGAAACGGCGGGTGAAGCAGCAGACCATGGACAGGTTCCTCAGCAAGAAGCAAAGAGTGGAAGAGGAACCTTCTTCGAGTGGTCCCCCAGAGTCTTAGAAAATGTAATGTACCCTTTTTTGATTTTTAAATGTTTTTCCTGTCATGTTTAGAAACTTAATTTATTGTTCCTTCAATTCTCTTAAAGTATGTGTGACTTTAAAGAGCAGTTAATAAACTCTTGTTGTACCGAATTTGGCTTTGATTGGACTTTTTTTGACCATAGGAACGCATTAATTGAATTTCAATGCATTCCTATGGGATTTCGTGCTTCGCAAGACGAAAAATTCGCTAGACGAAAAAACTCACGGAACGAATTAATTTCGTCTTGCGAGGCACCACTGTATTGGGGGAAATTTGCACTAAAATGCTGAAGAATTTTCATGAGGTCTTAATGCAAACTGATGTGGAAATGAAAATTAAATTTGGAAAACCGAGGAACTGAAAGAAAGCGAAATTGACACAGTTGTCCATCCCTAGGCCTCAATGGGCAAATAGTCTGAGAGCATAGAAATGTAGAGCTGGGTTATTCCTTTGTCCTAAACCCTGTCTTTGAATCTGAAAGAGGCACTATAAACAAAATCAGTAAATCTCGGATGACTGTTTGCTTTGACTTCCTAGGCATGTGCCTACATTTTCCCTCTCTCTGCTGCATGCGTTGCATCCAGCACAATAAATGATGGACACATTGGCCAGTGCAAGAGCCAGTTCGGTTTATCTGGAATGAGGAAGGTTTTCCCGTCATTCAAAGCTGCTTCCAACCAAAGTAAGATGAAAAAGAGCTGCAGATTGTTAGTATCTTCGCTTCCAGGTGAATGTTTACTTATCTTTAGAAGCATTGGAGTTTTGACAAGCCGTGCAGGCAGGAGATGGCACTTAAAGGCAGACTATTGCTTGCGGTGCTTGTGCAAGCACATTGCAGAGGAGCAGAGGAGTGTGTTCCAGCAGGCTCTCCGTGCCTGGAGCCTCAATCTGAAAACAAAGCAAATCTGGGGCATTTTGCACATCAGCAATGTTAAAAAAGGTGGGGGGGGGGAGTGCCAAACTGTTCTGCCAAGTTTTTCAGCGCTCAGAGGCATTGATCAGCATTTGAAAAATAGCTAACTCTCAAAGGGGTCTAGGATTATGTAGGAGGGAAGGGGACAGCAGAAGAAAACCACACATTTCCTTTTTTTAGGTTATTGGTTTCTTATTGATTCAGAAGCTGCACTGGGGGAAAGGGTGGGGCTGCTATTATCCTAAATACCCTTGATATTTCTCTGCTTCGCTGTTCCAAAAGAGTGGCGAGATATTTGACATCAGGCTACTGGGCCTACAGAATTGGCTGGATGGGATCAAAAGTAGAGATGTTGCAAAGAGCCTTGGGGGCTCAAACACAAGGCCAAGCATCATAGCCCCTATCTGTTTCTCCCCCTTAGAGGCTTGTTGTGGTAGGTAGGAATGGGATCTTATTGCATGCCCCAGCACGCACATATATATATATATTCTCATTGAGAGATCAGAACTTCACAGAGTATTGAACTAAAGCATTTCAGACCATTGGTTTTGTAAAAGCATGTCATATGATTCACCACACCCCCAAATCATTCTCTATTGCTTTCAGACTAATTCCTTTCATTATCTTTCTTTCTTTGTTCACCATGAGATGACATAAACTTTCAACAATTAGTTCCGAGATGGTTCTTCCTAAATGTGTTCGCTCTCTTAGTTTACTTGATAGCAAGACACCATCACTCTGTGAATGTATGGGCAGACTAAACAGGGTTATGTGGAAAGCATTTAAGGGCCCCTGTAGGAGAACAGCTCCCCTATGAAATTTGAATTAATTGCGGAAAATGCAAATTCCCGTTTTAGCCTTCAGTTTATATCACTCCTTTGTTTGTTTATTTGTCTCATTTCTAGACCACCTTTCGTCCAAGAAGCCATACCTTGTTGTTCCTGTCCACACAGCCCTGTGAGGTGGGTTAGGCTGAGAGGCAGTGACTGGGCCAAGGTCACCCAAATGAGCTTCATGACCAAGTGGGGATTTGAACCCTGGTCCCTCAGAGCCTAATCCAACACTCTAACCTCTATGCCGTACTAATTCCTATTACACCAGAATAGTGCTAAGATGAGCTAGTAAGTGCCAACAGGACTGAAGCCAAAATGGGTGCATGAGAAACAGGAATGGCCTCAGAGGTTGCAGAATGAATATCTATATATAGAGAGAGAAGGTACAGCTAAGGGAGCAAGAGCCAAACAAGCCACGAGATAACCCAGGAATCACAAATTGCTGAATGTCTGTTGCAGGAAATGAAAATGCAGCATCGGGGGGGGGGGGGGGAGAGGCACGGCTGGCTGGCTAGACAAGTCTGCATTGCAACACTCTGTTGCAAGTCCCACTTTTCCTTATCCTTTTTGTGAACTGCTTCTATTTCTGTGTGGGCAGGGCTGTTAAAGACAGCCCAGGGGTACAAGGGGTGTGGGGCACCTGGGCACCACATTCAGGGGGGCGCCAGGCACCCGCTGCTGAAGCCGCCTAAGATTATGTTATGGGCCTCCAGAAAGGCCTTTCTCTCCCAGCCCACGGACCCTGCCTCCCTTTCGCCTCATGTCGCTGGGATGCAGCCGCTTCAAACGGTAATTTGGCAACTTCTGTTGCAAAAGCTCTGCGGCAGACCTTAAGCAATCCCAGCATTGCTGTGGGCCCCTTTGCAAACACCTTTGCCTGGGGTGAGTTTTGTGGTGTGGACTAGCAAAGAGAGATGGTTATCTTGCAGCAGAAGGCAACATTTTCTTTTTCTCCTTGTTTTGTTGGTTTCGTTTTTAAATATGCACTGTAGCCCTTTGGGAGCTATCATATCTGGGCCAATTACTTGGCAATTTGCCTTTGACCTTCCCCTCTTCGGAAACCTTTGCATTCAGGGCGCAGCTTCACTTGCATATCTGCCTTTGGAAGCCAATGGCTCCCCCTCCCTGCACAGCGCCCCAGGTATCTCCTGCTTTACAGAAAAGGGGTGGGAGAAAGGAGAGAGAGAGCAGTCCCCTCCTTCTGTGCAGACAGCCCTATCTCTTTGGACTGTGTCCCCTCTATTCCTTACAGATGAGGCAGTGCTCTGGGCGGCTACAAACCATATGTAAAACTCTCAATCACTCTCTAGGCTGCAGCTGCTCCATTTGAAACATTACGAGCCGTGCATCTGGAAAACACTAAATCTGCTCAGCTAAGCCCGTCTTTCTCCTGGAACAACTCCTTTTGAATGATAGGGTGATATTTCGCCCTAGCCTTTACTGGGATGCGCGGGGCGGTGGGGTGTGTGAGGAGGAGAAGGAAGGAGAGGGGAAGGGGGGAGCTCCTCTTCCTTAACAGCAATTGGGGTCAGCTCTTGCAAGTTAGCTGCTCTGGATGGTGGCAGGGAGGGGACGGTGCCATTTCAGGAAAATATTTGTTCCGTGCATAGGGATCTGCACAAAGGGCTTCTTCAAGGAGCTGGAAGGGGGAACAAGAAGGGCTCATGAAATGCTTGAGAGAACACAGGACTTTCCTTGGCATTTATATGGAGGTCCTCTGATCGTGGGTGGAGCATTTGTGCGCAAACGCAACCAAGGTTTTGTCTCTGCTCCTGTGTTAAGGGTTAATTTGCCTGTTTTGGAGCCGGGGGCTTTTAAGCTGCGAGGCGTGCGTGCGTGGCGCTTTCCACTGGCTTCTGCGTGGATAGGTCCGACCCGATCCCGGGGCTCATCCACTGTTTCCTCTTGAGTAATCCCACTGGGTTTGGTTGAGCCACAGGGGTTGAAGGGCTGCAGCAGTAGAGCCCGATGCATACTTATATTGGATAGTGGCAGGGCCGTCTTTACCCGGGGGTGCACTATGGGGAGCTGGGTGGATCTTTGCACCCTGGCGGCACATATACTAAAGATGGCCCTGTGTGTGGGCAAAGAAAGATGCAAACTGTGGGAGAGGTGAGGTATCATTGGGCCGTCTCCCCAGTGTTGTCTACACTGCTGGCAGGTTTCCAGTCAGGATTCTCTTCCAGCCCAACCTAGAGATGCCAAGGATGGAACCTGGGATCTTCTGCATAAAAAGCAAGATGCTCTTCCTCTGAGCTCCAGCATATCTTCTAGCACCAGAGTAGAATCAAACTCTACAGTCTCATTTCCTGCTGCCTCCCATCCCAAGTCATTCTTTCCCCATCCTAATATTTTAACCCCCCCCCCAGACTATCATTCCTTTCTCAAAATACAAACAGACCAAACCCAGTGTTGTTTTGGATACCCAATAATGCTTCAGTGTAGCAGGTTGGTCTACATGCATATATTATACACCTTTTTTTTGGTAGGCTGCCTCTCCATAGTTCAAGGCCAAGGCAGCCTACAACATGAAAAAATACAGAATTACAAAAATAGTTATAAGCAATAAATAAAACATCAAAAATACTCTACCAAATTGAACAATTTCCACATAAATCACAGTAAGATTTAAAATAAAGATTAATATCAATAACAGCAACAAGTCCCTTTCTGCAACAAACTCCGCTAAACAATACCCCAATCCAAGGTTCTCTTCAGCATCCTAAGCTTTTGTAGCTGGAGTCAGTCCTGGCCCTATCCTCCCAGGCCAGGTGGAAAAAGGCCTGCTGAACAACAGCCAAGGATGTATAGCTCAGTGGTTCCCAACTGATGGTCCATGGACCCCATTCAGGGAGTTCATTCACATAACAAAAATTAACATAGATGCGTATATCAAAAATTTCAAGAGTAGGGAGTCCATGGCTTGGATTTTGAAAAAACGGCGGGCGGGGTGTGTGTGTTCCTGCAGTACTTAGCTAATTGGGAGTCACTGGTCTAGTTGGATCCATGGTACCCCACCCAGGACCTATAAATTTCTGGTTCTTTTGTGTTTCAGAAGCTGAGATAAAAAGCATTTCTGTCACTGGGAAAATCTGAGGAGTTTATTGTTTACAGTGGTGCCCCGCAAGACGAATGCCTCGCCAGATGAAAAACTCGCTAGACGAAAGGGTTTTGCGTTTTTTGAGTTGTTCCGCAAGACGAATTTCCCTATGGGCTTGCTTCACAAGACGAAACGTCTTGCGAGTTCTTGCGAGTTTGTTTCCTTTTTCTTAAAGCCACTAAGCTGTTAATAGCCGCTAAGCCGCTAATAGCCGCTAAGCCGCTAATAGCCGTGCTTTGCAAGACGAAAAAACCGCAAGACGAAGAGACTCGCGGAACGGATTAATTTCGTCTTGCGAGGCACCACTGTATTGGATTTCCCCGGCTTGCCTCGGAGGAAACATAATGTAACTATGTATAAATGCCAGCAATAAAAAGAGAGAGGTGGGTCAAGGACAAGCCATTCTTTGCTCAACAACTCCACAAAGTATGCGTTTCTTCTGGCCCATGTTACCACAGCCCTCAGATTCAATGCTGCAGCATCTCTGTGGAGTGCAAGGTGTCGTTACCCCAATGACTCATTTGCATATTGTTCAGTTTAGGCTGTCCTCTCTAAACTCTGACAAACAGGTCTCAGCTGCAGTCGGCCCCTTGCTCACTTAGCTCAATTTCTGAGTCCAACTCTTCTGCTACACTCTGGGGGGCCAAGTTCCTGACACCATGACCCTCTTGGCCCCTTCCAGCTCTGTGATTCTATGATTCTCAAGCCACCCTGAGAATCTCTGATTGTCTGGATTTGCTGCTGCAGTTGGCTGGGTCTGCATTGGCCTTGATGGCGATGTTCTATCTCCATGGCCAGAGGAAGTGGCTCTGAATGCTTGCTGACAATTGCAAATGAGGACAGTGCTGTTGCACCAAGCAGAGGCATAGTGTGATGGCCTGGGATTCGGACTCGGATGCTGAACCTAAGGAATCCCAGCCTGCACAGGATTCTCCGCCTCCAGAACCAGCAGACCCGGGGCTGGGGCATGAGCCTGAAGGGTCCTCACCTGTGCTGGATCCTCAGGTGCAGGCACCAGCTGAGTCTGCTCTTGCTCCTGAGGGGGTGGAGGACCTATTGCCTGCAGGTGCTCCACTCTCAGCCCCATCAGGGGAAGCTGAGGTTGCCTCTGGGTCCGGTAACCCTCCAGCTTCTTCTGAGCTGCAGAGGCTCAGGGCAGAGAGGCGGAGGGAACTAAGTTCCCGCAGGAGGAGTGCTCGCCTCCAGGCCAGGAGAGGCGAGTCACCTGAGGATCAGGGCTGCCCTGTGCCTCGGGGCAGATAAAAGCCAGCCAGCCTCAGTCCCAAGTTGCGGGAGCAACTTTGTTGGTTGTCAGTTCCTGCCTGAACCCTGTCCTGCTATCCTGCCGGAGCTCCTGACCTCACCTGCCTACCTGCCCTGCATCCAGCTTCAGCTTCTTTGGACTGCCTCCTTACTGCACCTTCAACCTCGGACTGGACTCGGACCTCGCCTCTCAGTTAGCCCACGGGACCAGCACACATAGCATGCATGGGGTGAGGGGGCTGTTGCCCCCGGCCCAGTTTTTTCTAGGGCGATTTTTGCTGCTCATGCTGCCCCTGCCAGCCCCACACTGCTTTGTGAGTCCAATCCCACATCCCAGCTTCACAAAGCAGTGGGGCATCAGGAGGATGCAACAGGCCTGCACTCTTCCAATCAGACCTGAACCAGGAGTTTTCTCATGTTTGGGAAACATGATGCTGGATTCTTCAGGTCTCCACCCAGTCCAGCAGGACTCTTCTTGTTAGCACCTTTGAACATGAATTGATGCAAAACAAAAAAAAACAACAACAACAAAACAACAAAAAACCCACCCCCAAAACCACCACCCTGTGTGCATGTACACATTCCTCTGAGAATGAGTCTGTTGTTGTTAGGGATGGGCAAATATGTCCTGGAGAGCTGTTGCCCGTCTACCCATGAGCTAGAAGATCCAGTGGTCTGACACATAAAATCATAGAATTGTAGATTGTTGTTTTTTTTAAAAAAATAATATTTATTATAGTTTCACAAAGAAAGAATCACATTAATAAAAAAGAAAAATTTAAGAATAAAAAGAAAAATACACAATACAAAATACAAAAGGAAAAAAGAAAAAAAAAGTAAAAAGAAAAAACAGTTAAAAAAAAATTCCGTCTTTTCATGACTTCTTTTACATTTACTTGTTTCCCGGACCTCCTCATACCTCCCTCTTTTGTATTCCAATTCAGTTAGTTAATCCAGCAATTTCTTTCCCTCTTTTTTAATCCCAATCCTTAATCTTAATATATTATAACATTAAGTTTTAATCTATTAAAAACCAATTTTTCCATTCTTTTAACCTTTTTAATCCTAATCCTTAATCTTGATATATTTATAACTTTAAAGCCTGTACAGCTAGAAGCCACTTAACTTCAATCCAACATCACTCTAACATTCATTAATTTTGCAATATTTCTGTAAATAATCTTTAAATTTCTTCCAATCTTCTTCCACCGACTCTTCTCCCTGGTCACGGATTCTTTTCTTATCCAAATTGTATGCCTCCATTATCTGATAATAATGAAGCCAGTCTCGCACTTTATTTTTTAGTTTTTCAAAACTCTGCAATTTCAATCTGTCTCCATCTTGTTCCAAAATTTCCCAATATTTTGGCCATTTGACCTCCATATTGAGCTTTTTCAAGGCCTTCGCTTCCATTGGTGACAGCCACCTTGGAGTTTTATTTTCCAGTAAATCCTTGTATCTTATCCAAACATTAAATAGTGCTTTCCTGACAATATGGTTTTTAAATGCTTTATGTGCTTTGACCTTGTCATACCACAGATATGCATGCCATCCAAATACGTTGTTAAAACCTTCTAAATCCAAAATGTCAGTGTTTTCAAGAAGCAGCCATTCTTTCAACCAGCAGAAAGCTGCTGATTCATAGTAAAGTTTAAGGTCTGGCAGGGCAAATCCACCTCTATCCTTTGCATCTGTTAGTATTTTAAATTTTATTCTGGGCTTCTTGCCCTGCCAGACAAATCTAGAAATATCTCTCTGCCACCTCTTGAAACAGTCCATTTTATCCACAATTTGCAATGTTTGAAACAAAAACAACATTCTAGGCAATACATTCATTTTTACGGCAGCAATACGACCCAACAGTGAAAGCTTCAAGTTTGACCAAATTTCTAAGTCTTTTTTCACTTCAGCCCAACATCTTTCATAGTTATCTTTAAATAAGTTCCCATTTTTTGCTGTCAAGTTAATCCCCAAATATTTAAGTTTCTTAACCACTGTTAAACCTGTCTCATTCTGAAACATAGAATTGTAGATTGGAAGGGACCCCAAGGATGGTCCCCAAGGATGGTCACCCAGGGTGGTCAATAGTGGGCCAGATGGACCAAGGTTGTCATGTGGTGTGTGTGTTTTTTTGCTTTCAAACTAGGGGTGCCAGTGAACTCCTGACTCAGGCTCAGAGAATATATTTGGATGCTCATAAAGCCAGCCCCCAAATTAGAGGCTTTCTGGATTCCCAGCAGTTTCTCATATCTCCCATGATCAGAAGTTAAACTTGCTTACACATGCTTGTGGATCTTTCCATCTACTTTAGGCTGCCATCCCCTGCATGTTTTCATGAGAATAAGCTACTTGGAATGTAGTGAGACTTGCTTTTGAATAAGCATGCTTAGGCTCCAGGTGTTTGCCCAGCATGAGTGAGTGGTTGGGTTTAAGCATGCATGGATCCTGACCCTATGATTTAGACATAAGTCCTGCTGTGGTCAGTGCCCCTTACCTCTAAGTAAAAGTAGGTAAGATTGCAGCCTATCCACTCTGCCCCCCTAAATCAATAATTGAATTCCACATGAGTTTGAAGCAACTCTAGTGAGTTTACATTGTTCTTTCCAGTAATTGAGTTCCTCTCCCAGTGTGGCTACTTTAATTTAATTAGAACTGGTGAATTAAGAACTCAATGAGTGGGCTGTGAATGTAACTTATTTATTCAGTAAAATAAATGAACACTTCAGCAGTGGCAGAAAAAAATCATACTGGATCCTTTAGGTCATAGCTGTCAACTTTTCCCTTTTCTTGCTAGGAATCCTATTCGGAATAAGGGAATTTCCCTTTAAAAAAGGGAAACGTTGACAGCTATGCTTTAGGTTGCATTTCCAACAGATCTCTCTGTCCACCTTCTGAATGCCATGAGTAATTTTATCAACTTCTATCGTATCTACGTGTGCAGCTGCCTTTATGCGAGTGAGGCCAGTGCTTCATCTGATGGATGTTCTCCAAGCTCTCAAGCAGAGATATTTCCCAGCCCTCCTGGCTCAGTTTCATTTTAACTGGAGATGCCAGGAATCAAAACTGGGTTCCTCTATACCATGGGTAGGCAAACTAAGGCCTGGGGGCTGAATCCAGCCCAATCGCCTTCTTAATCCAGCCTGTGGACGGTCTGGGAATCAGCGTGTTTTTACATGAGTAGAATGGGTGCTTTTACTGAAAATGCATCTCTGGGTTATTTGGGGGGCACAGGAATTCATTCTTTCCCCCCCTTCAAAATATCGTCTGGCCCCCCACAAGGTCTGAGAGACAGTGGTCCGGCCCCCTGCTGAAAAGGTTTGCTGACCCTTGCTCTATACACAAAGCCGAGGCTCACCACCCCTCTTCTTCATGCCTTCCGTTAGGAGCTTCATCAGAGCCTTTTTCAGCTGGAGGGCCACATTCCCTCATGGAAAGCCTTTGGGGGGGGCACATGCCAGTGCCAGGTAGCGCTGGAGGTGAAAACAGTGGCTGGGTCAGGGAATGTGACCCTTTTCTTTTACAGTAGCCAATATCCCAATATTGCCAAAGCTCAAGGCGTGTGAGGAGGGCAAGGAGCAGGACCAAGGAAGGCTGTGGCCTGGAGGATAGTCCCAAGGGCCAGATAAGGAGACAAAGAGGGCCACCTCCAGCCCTCAAACCCCTGGATTTGTCTGAGATACTTCTTTCTCCCGCTGTTTCCAGTGATGTGGTGAGATGAGAGTAAGACATGGTCTCTGGGTTATGGTGCACCTCAAGATATTTGATCTGCAGCTGCTTTTGTAGCAGAAGCTGGGTTTTCCTTGCTTCCCATCTTCCTTTCCCTTCTTCATCTCCCAAACCATCCCCTCTGCACAACCTCTAGCAAGGCGGGGGCTTTGCCTTGTTTTGCTTCACTGACTTTACAGCAATTATCTCCCTGCAAGTCCCAGGGTTACATTGTACAAATTGATAACTCTTGCCACTGCTTTTCTTAAAACAATTAGTGCATGCAATTATTCCCCTTCTGTTTGGCTACTTGATGTTCAGCTTGAAAAGTTGCCTTTTGGGCTCCATGCTACAGCTAAAGGGGAATTGGTGGGGGGTGGGGGTGGGAGGGGTTGTTCTCAAGGAAATTCTCTGAAATGTTCTTCCCAATGCATCTGTGTTAAACATAGTGGGTTGTACCCAATCTTAGTCCTTGCTGCGATGGAGGATAGAAAGGGGTACATAAGAATTTGTAGAAGCAAGGCTAACATCTACATCCCTTGCTCTGCCCTATGCCCCACCCCCAGCCCCTTGCCAAGCTAAGACCTATTCCTCCCCCTGCTGTACACACTTACCTGGGGGTAAGTTCTATTCCATTCAGTCAGATTTACTTCATTTTTTTTTAATGATATTTATTAAAAGTTTAAGAATTACAGAAAAAAGAAAAAAAGAAAACAGCAAAAAATTTGACAAAACATACATTACAATACATAAAAAGAAAAGCATAAAAAACACTACAACAATACAGCAAAAAAGAGAGAAAAAAATAACATCAAAACACACATCCAATGTTCCATATCTTTATCTTTCATTTACTTGTTTCATCGACCTCCTCACACCTCCCTTTTCGTATTCTAATTTAATTAATTGTTTCAGCAAATTCTTTCGATCTTTCTCAATTTTTTTATATAATTTATCATAACAATCTAACCTTTTAATTAACTCAACAAATCCTTTCCATCTTTCACTATATTCTGTCATTCAATTTACCTTAATTTATTTAACCTTGTCTTACCATAAAAAAGAAAACCTTAAACCTTTTCGAGTCTGGAAAGGGGCCGTCAGATGTCTGGAGCAGTGGGGGCTCTCAACTTTGAAGGGAATCTGGAACATGTTTTTAAATACTACATCGAGTCTAGTCTGGACTATGAAAAAAGGACTGTTTTGTTGAAAAGGGTCAAAAACATTACCAAGCTGGAGTTCCCACGAATAAAAGGAAAATATGAAGAAGAGCTGCGGAAGGTACATGGAAGAAACTTGAGGGCCTCGGATGTAAGATTGCCAGGTTAATGTGCTAGATTAATAGGACAAAAAGGACTGACAAAACCCGGGACCAGGAGGAAGGGACGCTGGATGAAGATTGGATTGCTTAATTTTCTATTTTTATCATTAGGACTGTTTTACAAAATTGATGAATGTTAGGAAAATGTTGAAATGAAATTATTTGGCTCTTATAAAAATGTCTAAAGAATTAGGTAAGAATGTTATGGTTAGGAGAAGTTGGTAAAAATTAAGATTTAAGTTCTAAATTTTTTAATATATATATAAGATAAGATGAAAATAGATTAAGGTAATGTGAGGACAGAATATTATGAATTATGGAAAGGATTTGCTGTGATTATTATAAATCAGGATACAGGAAAAGGGAGGAGGAGGAGGTCAAGGAAAGAAGGTATTGAAAGTGGAGAATTGGAGAATGATGGTTTTACTTTTTCTTTTTTTGTCTTGTTTTTTTCTTTTGTGTAATTTTTTAAAAAAATTCTCAATAAATATCATTTAAAAAAATAAAATAAAATGTTTCTTAATCCAATTTTCCATTCTACTCACGGGTACTTGTTTAGAGTCCAATTGCCCACAGGAAAAAGTCAGCGCTCTCCGGCAACGGCTGTGCGGCTTCACTCCATAAAAATAGCGGTTGATTCAAAACACCGCGCCACTCACCCCACGTCGCTTCGGGTCCCCGAAAAAGGGTTTCCCTGCGAGTAGGGGAGGCGCTCCTGGTGTCAGCCGAATCCCACGTTCCCAGGCTTCCTCCGCCTGGGATTTTTAGAGGGTCTCCGCCTTCGCCGCGGCGGCAAGACCCGATTTTCACGGAGCGGGTTCCTCTCGGTCAGAGGAACTCCGCCATTGCTGATGGCGCTAACCCAGAAGTCCCAGTCAGATTTACTTCAGAGTAGATATCTATCAAATTGCACTACAGTACACTTTTAATGACAATGTCTTATGAATTGTTTTACCTCTATTTTTAAGAAATTCTGCTTGGCTTAAGGAAAAAACAAACAACCAAAAATAAAACTGTGATTTATAGTTTTATTTTAAATTCTCTTGAGTCTTCTTTTGCATGGAAAGGTAGGGTATAAGTGGAATGTGTGTGTGTGTGTGTGTGTGTGTGTATTTGCCATGTCTTCTCAGAAATTCAGGAAAAAGGTTTGCTGAAGTTTATTTGAGCAATTGGGAATATGTGATGTGATGCACAATTCACTCTTTTTATAGCTTACTCTTGGGCATTGACTGGGGAAAGGCCCTTGTCAATTAGAATACCGAGAAATCCATAAAGGCTCTTCACAAGGGCTGATAATGTGTGTAAGTTTTATATTTGGATTATGGTTTCCTTTTTCTTTTTTAATTTTTATTTATGATTTTCAAATTATTATTTTTTGTTTAGTCGTTTAGTCATGTCCGACTCTTCGTGACCCCCTGGACCAGAGCACACTAGGCACTTCTGTCTTCCACTGCCTCCCGCAGTTTGGTCAAACTCATGCTGGTAGCTTCGAGAACACTGTCCAATCATCTCGTCCTGTCGTCCCCTTCTCCTTGTGCCCTCCATCTTTCCCAGCATCAGGGTCTTTTCCAGGGAGTCTTCTCTTCTCATGAGGTGGCCAAAGTATTGGAGCCTCAGCTTCAGGATCTGTCCTTCCAGTGAGCACTCAGGGCTGATTTCCTTAAGAATGGATAGGTTTGATCTTCTTGCAGTCCATTGGACTCTCAAGAATCTCCTCCAGCACCATAATTCAAAAGCATCAATTCTTCGGCGATCAGCCTTCTTTTTGGTCCAGCTTTCTACATTTCACTAATTTTACAATCATTTTAACATTTCAAAACTTGACTTCCTTCTCCCACTTTCTATGGTTCCTTAAATTTATTTTTTATATATTCTGCACATTCCAAATTAACTTAACTTTATTTATTCATCTGCTATTTCATC